ATGCAAGGAAGGTGCATCGACAGTCTCGAGACTGCGACACGAGATTAAGTTCGTCATCTTGAGACATCCGCCGACTGCAAAGTGAACGAATCAAGAGCTGGACCGAGTACTGCCTGCCTGCAACAATCGTAAAGGAGCGGTGCTTTTTCCTTCTGTTTTGTGCTTTTAGGCGGCAGGTGTGTTGGCTTAGCGCAATAGAAAGGTGGATACAGACCATGAATCGAACGTAAATAACCGTTCGGCCGAGCGGAGGAACACTGATAAAGAAAAAAGTGTGTCTGCCCATCCGACCAGACAGAAGGCTTGCCCAAGGTCAAGATCCGCAGCGACTCCCGAGAACGGCTGCGCGTCGCCCTCCTCTTTCCGGTAGATTCTCAACTCAAAAGGTTTCTTTCTTTGCCGTTGGCAACTTTGAAACCGCACAAGAGACAGGAGAAGGTTGCCAGCTTCCATCCGCTTGGCAGCTGCGCGACACTGTCATCCGGCAAGCCTTGCTAACGTAAACTCTCGCTTTGGCCACCACCGCTTCCCTTGGTTGCACCTCAATTCTAGTCGAGGTCGCCGGTGTTGTTAGTGTTGGAATTAAGGACAAGGCAGAACGATATGGTCGAGGTTACGTGAGAAGACCATGTCCGGCAATGCGTGTGTTGTGTATTTGATACGTGACCGGAAGAACACATATGTTGCAGGAGCACGGCATGCTGAAAATATACGAAGAATTATCTTTGTTATTTTCTAATTCTAAAACATTTAGTCGAGGTCGCTTCTCTCTTTAATTTATTAGTCAACCGTGCGTGTTAATTCTGTATACTTTTAGAGCGCAGCTCTTAGGCGCTCCTTTAGGGGTAGGAGGAGGGCAGGAGCTTGAAGGAGGAGGGGGGGAAGACGAGTAGGTGGGGAGGAGGGGTATACCCTTCCCTCAGTACCCTTCCCTCCTCCTTCTCAAGAGCTGCTTTCTGATTCGGCCTTGCAGGGGATTGTAAACGTCTTTCATTTTTTTTTCCTGGTCTTTTTTTTCTTCGTTAAAAGGGCAAGGTGAAAGCAAGGTCATCAGTCGTGTCGCACCTGCCGCAATGCTCATCTAGAATGCAGACACAGCAAGCTTCCCTCTGCCCAAGTATTCATACAAATATGAGTTTTGACTCGAGTGATTAGATGGCACCTACGCATTCATCCATCCATCCGGGTCCCTTCGAGACTGGCTGTCGGTGCTATCGGGATCTACTACGACCTTCCTGGAGTAAATGACCCTCGGAAGGGCCCCGTGCTTCCCACGACAGGTCCCCGTAATGCATCCACCCACATGTATATCAACGGCGTTATTCAGAGGTGGCCTGACAAGTTCCGATCGGAGATTACTATAATGCTGTCATTAACGTGTGCCACGGCGGAGCGATTATAGCACGACAATGTGGGTGCTTGCATAAGAACCCGTTTTTTTTTTTTTTTTTGTAGTGAACGGGGAAGAGCTTGTTTGTGCATCTCAAAGTAGAGTTAGTGAAAACAAATTCGCTCATTCAAGGCATAAAAAAATGGCAGTTCATCTTGCTTAATAAAAAAACAAAACACAAATGTCTTCTTTTTTTTTCGCTTTATTTTACATTGAAATAAGCTACCGAATCGCAGCGTGGAAAAGGCATTGTCGCCTATTTAATTTTTTTTATTCGTCATGTAATTTTTTTTTTCTTTTTGCAGTGCATTAATTTGTTTTTGTGCCTGCCTTTTTCCTCGCCTCGTCTGTGCCTCGTCAGGCGGTGTAGATCACCCAGCTAAATAAATCAATATTAGGATTCGATCACTCTTCCTGCAAATGCTACACTTGACTGCGAAATATGCCGGATGTTCCATTTTAGTTCGAACCGATTTATTACAAAACATTCGAAAAAGATGCACTAATACGGTTTGTACAGATGAGTTATACGGCCAGGGGGACATTATGTGGTTGGCTGATCTTTGCGATAAGTCGATTAATTAACTAAGCTTCCTTAATTAATTAACTTTTACTTAATAAAAATAATCATATGGTTACAATTAGAAACATGCTGAGCATAATCGAAAACCACTATATCAGTCAGTTTCAGAACGACCTGAAGCATCTTGGGAAACTCGGGGGTGCACTATGAGTTACCACTCGAGCAGCAAGCGCAAAGCTAGCAGTGGCAAAACGCGGATGATTAGATTATCATCGCGTTCCGCTTCTGTCATTGGAACTTTTGCTCCAAACTGAATATTTCGAAAGTTAATTATTTAATCTTAATTACCAATTAATTGAGCGAAATACACACAAAAAAAGCCTGACTTGCTCCAAACAATGAACAAACTTATTCGTTTGGTTTCGCCTTCCTAAAATGCATCAATATATATACATATATATTTTTTTAACTTTGGCTCAAGTTACGAGGAATACCCTGTATACGATTCCGGACTTTCGGTGCTTATTTTTTTCCCGTGGATTCGGTGATTTTTAGCGTCAAACAACAAAAATCGCAATTTAACAGGACGCTGGCGTAGGATTCCATAACCTTCAGGGAAGTGCGCGTCTTCCATACAGAATAATATAAGATAGAAAAGAAGATCAGCCGCTCGTGTTTCCACCTCAGGAAAAAAAAAAGAAAAAAAAAGGGGGGGGGAAGCTTTGTGCATTGTTCAAACAACGCGCGAAGCAGTTCTTCCAACACTTAGATGGCGGAGGATGCTGTAAGCGTTTGACGCGTGTACGTCTCGGTAATATAACATATATCTAATCTAAAATGCACCTACAAATTAATTCTCCGGATAAAGTGGGAAATTAATCATTGTCCACAAAGAGCCGGACTTTTTTAGAATTATTTCTTATTGCAGTTTTTGAGGGAAGAACAGGAACAGTCTCACGGACAGTTCAGTGCGGGTTGTGCTCCGGACCAACATAAAGTTGTAGCTAAAAGTTTATTCCCGTGAAGCTTGCGATATTACAGTTTTTTTTTTTTTTTCGGTTTCATCCGATTTCGATTACACCGATTCGAGGGTTAATTTTGGGGGTTTATCTATTTCCTTTTTTTTTTCGGGGTTTTTACCGAAAACACGGTAAAAAAAACAGATCGCACGGAGAGATCGTCTTCACCACACACACACAGACACACACACACACAAAAAAAGAAAGTAACATATCGCCTCCGTGCCCGTCTAGAAAATCGCTAACCGACGAAGCGCTCCATAAAAGGCTCAATAAAAAAAAAAAAAAGAAAAAAAAAATAGGGGGGTTCGAGAAAAGGGGAATTGTCTGCCAGGACGATACGGTTGGCGCGACCGAGAACGAAAATACACACACGTCAGGAAAAGAAACCGAACGAAAACCAAGGCGAAAACCGCTTTCCCGCGCGAGTCAAAACGTGGCGGGGGGGTAGGAGCAATTTTCCGCTTCGTATTGTGTTCGCCCTCTGGACTGCGTTTTTACTTACTGGTATTTTGACGCCGTCTTTTCTTACACTACACTCGCTCCTTTGACGTTCCTGGACGGCAGAAGGACGCACTCTGCATGCCTCAAGCGACCAATTTAAGACAACTATAGTTTAAAAACAAATCAGTCGCAAAATGCAAAATTGACCACGGTGAACATGCACGCGAGAGCACCAGGGGTCCTGAAGGAACGCTACTTTCACCAATATATATACTGTCGAAACCGGTAACGAAGTCGGTTATAACGAAATAACGGCTACAGCGAAGCGATCACAACTTCCCATTCCGTTTTCCACCTCGTTATAACCGAAGTCGGCTATAACGAAATAGTGGATATATCGGATATAGCGAAGTGATTTACGATTCTCGTTTTCGCCTTCATTCATACACGGGTAATTAACCCCTGTATGAATTTACTATGGTCATTGGCGGGAATAGAACGGCAGAGACGGATTTCGGTTGTGCCACCCCCAGCGCCAGCTTCTTGTCTTCGATGATGCTTCGGCGTATCGTGAGCCTCGAGCGTGCACGCGCAGCCCAAAAGCACGGCGGAGGGCAACTGGCGCGTGCTGCAGGCCGCGCGTTTGAGAGAGACGCCTTGCCCTTCTCATGCTCTACGCCTGACTATAATAAAATATAAGTAGTTATTTTTATTATCTTAAAGTTTTGTTAACGTTTACATTCTGGGGAACAGACGTGGCTTATTTGAGGCTTGACAACATCTAAAAAAAATCTTAAAAAAGAAAATAAAGCCACAGTATGGCACGTTTTTTATGGCGACATAGAACAGCTTTTCGATTCGGGGTCGGTCAACACCTCAGCCATCAGTGCGCAAAATGAATTCTTTTTTTTTTTTTTTTATGTATACCCTGATAGTTTTTGTTTTATTTTATTTCTGATAACTTTTTTTTATGTTTTTGATTGGAAATTGCGGCTTCTAGAAAAGGAGGTAATCTTTTTCTTTTTCTTTTTTTTCGTATATGCAGTGCAATTGGCTTTAGCGATAGCAGATATAACGATGTCCTAGTTTTAACGATCAGTTTTTACAGTTTCTAGACTAGGAACGCTCAATTTCTGGCCCAGATACAACGATAATCGGGATTGAGTTTTCGGGTTTTCTCATTGTCGTTATAAGTGGATCTTTCTTGCGGTTTGTCACGTATCAGTACTTAGAGTATTGCTGAGAACTGCCTGAATACAGGTATATAACTACTACAGACGCGACAAAATTTGAAAACAATTCTGACGGATGTGGTGTCAATGCACTCCGTCGCGTTGAACTTCTAGGAGAGGTTCTTCCAATGGAGATATTTTCCCATTCAGTGCATGAAATTTGCCGCAGAATCAATGGTGAACAATTTATATTATATCGCACCCTTGTTAAAAAAAAAAATGTATTATGGTTATGTTGGCGCATACTTATCGCGCGTAGTTCGAAAATTTTCTCCGAACACCTTTGGCAGCCTGCCATGGGTTCTTCACAAACCAGATCACCATGTCTCTCAGAGACAAAACCATAGAGTGATATACTAATGACACGAAAGGGGTGTGTTCCAGATCCTCACCTGAATCTCCTGGATGAGTTCGGTGTCGTCCAACAGAACCACTTTGCAGTGAAAAGTTTTCGGTTTTTCCCCGAAGCACTTCATGACGACTGACACTCCGCTCCACCGGTAGCACAATCTTTCACACAGGCCTCCACCTTCACGACACTCTTCGATGCTTGGTCTTCAGGCGAGCGAAGAAACTTCAAAAAATAAAATAATAAAACACCAAACCAACGAAAAACAGGAAGAGAGAGCAGGGTTGATCGTGTTGACACTCAAAAATGCTCTCCGGAATGCTGCCGAACCACGGTACAGATGAATCCTGTGGAGCGGTCAAGACAGCACCAGGATACGATCCTCGGACATCGTCGATATCTTCGGCGTCTCTTTCAGAGACGGGAGATGCGGGTCTGGTGGAACAATCGGTCGTTTTTTTTGTGTGTGTCTCTACCCTCGCGGCAGGAGCAGGGACCTGTTGTTTTCTGGCGTACCTCCACCTTGCACGGAGTGGTCGAGTGGTCTCTCGCTTTGAACGACGCCTCTTCTTCGGAGGCGGTCTTTTTTCTTTCCCCCTCCCTCTCTCGCGTCTTTACGACGGCTCCGTCTTTGTGCGCTTGAAAAGCGGCAAGAGGCTGCCATACCTGTTTTCAGAAGTGCCGCCGCGCAATGCAAAAACAGGACGAGGGGCGTTCAAACACGCACACACAAAAACGAAACTGACAGTAATGAACGCGAGAGGCGATGGTGGCGACACGTACTGTTGATAAAATGAAGCTTTGTATGTGGTGTGTTTTATTAAGTCAAGATGGCGCCACCTTAAAATTGTTTTCTTGACAGGTTTAACATTGTGAGCACTAGATGGCACAGAATACCGCCCAATTCAATTCCTGTCAAAGTTTAATCTACATGTTATCAAAAGCGTTTTGTATTTATACTTAATTAGTCAATTGATTAATTTATATTTTAGGTGCTTAATCTTAAGATAAATAAATAAAATCATTTCATTGTTAAAACCATATGTTAAAACGTTCCTCATCTGAGCACAGCAGCGACAGCAGCGTCACCTATTGTTCTAGTCAGAAGTTGTCAGCTGTCATCTCTGCTGTCATTCTGAAACGCTAGATTTGCGGCGAGCGCTCGCCGCTGCTTGCCATTTATTCTAAATTTTTCCCGGGTGCCTTAGCTTTCAAAAGAAGACAGCATGACCCGAAAACACAAGAAAAACGTTGCGATTGGCGAAGCTGTCAGAATCGCAGTCACATCGGCCCTGCAGCAATTTTACCAAGCCGAAGATCAGCGAGGTGAGTGTCTGACGACCCGATTTCCTTGATTGTTCCTCTAATATTGAGACGCCCTTGGTTACATTTCCCCGATTTCGTTCGAATATTTACATCAATTTGTACGAACACCGATACCCTGTTACACTTGAAACTGTCTTTGAGAGGAACGTTGAAACTGTCCGAGTTGGACCCGTCTACTCGCGTGGAAGCCCGGTTGTGAGCCATCGGCGTCATATCTGAAGCACGTCAGCGAAAACCCTTAACATTTCGGCAGTGCGAAATCAGGCTTTGCATCTCCCCAAGGAAAACAAGAACATCGTTCTGCAGTCCGACGAGGGAAACGCTACCGTCGTCATGGACAGGCAGAAGTACCGCGGGCCTCCATGGTACGGGCTGTCGCCTTTCCGCGGTGCCACGGCTGAGCCAATAAAGATTACGATTACGATTACCGCTGCGAGGTGCTTGAGCATCTTAGCAGCAGTGACTACACTCTCTCACCAAAAGATCCTACAAGAAAAGTGCAGTGTACGCTGAGCAGAACACTGTCAGTCATCTTCCAGAAAGGCCCAGACTTCTGCACTCATCTGCCGGAAGGGATCCATTTTAGCTCTGTACGGTCTCCCCGAGATGCACAAGGCCGGGGTTCCTCTTCGACCTATCGTGGAGTTCACGACTTCAATTCTGTGCGCCGTTTATAGCTACCTCCACAAGCTACTCTTACCTCTCACGGGAAGGTCTCCAACGTCTATGCAAAACTCTGGTCTCTTCATAGAGCTTGTTTCTGGCCTAACTCTAAGTGAGCTAGGATGAAAGCCTCGTCTATTTTGACATAGTGTCTTTGTTCACCAGTATCCCAGTGCCCTTGGTCGCATCCGTTGCAAGAAGTGCTCTCTCGGCAGACAAAAAAGTTCCGGAGAGATTGTGCCTCGGTGAATGAGATCCGCTGACTGCTAGAACTCTGCCTGCGTAGCACATACTTTTCATTTGGCGGGAAGTACTAGAGGACAGCAGCACGGCCATGGGGGCATCCATATCTGTGACAATGGCAAGCCTCACTATGGAGGCCATTAAAATAAAAGCGCTGAACTCTTTTGAGCCGAAACTCAGAACCTTCTTGCGTTACATTCGCGACTGCCTCTGTGTCGTCAAGTCCAGTGAGGTGGGCCGTCTTTGGGTGCGCTTGAATTCGAGGGATAAGTCTATACGATTTACTGTTGAACATGAGGACAAAGGTTTTCATAGTGGCAGATAAATAGGGTTCGATTCTCACCTAAAAGAAGAGTCTGCGAGAGAAAATTCAGGTCGTTATGTTGGATCTCTAAAAGAATGACTACCCCCGACAGATTATTCTTTCAAGACGTCTACCCCTAGAGCGCAGCACACCCCCCACCGATTGCGTCTGCGTACCCTACATCTGCCACACCAATGACAGATATAGGGCACGCAGACGCAATCCCGCATACTTGGCCGCTATGAAATTGCAGTGACTCACAAGCCCGTGTCGACAATCGTCCATCGTCTCCCCATCCTAAAGGATCGACCCCCCAAAGAAAAGGCCCAAGGTGTCATCTACAGCATACCGTGTGGGCATTATTCGGCCTCATATGTTGGGGAAAGTAAGAACCTCCCAGAGAGGCTTACGCTACATAGATCCAATGTTCGAAAAAAAGATGTGGAAGCAAGTGCCCTAGCAGTACACGCAAAAGGAACTGGCCACAGAATAGACTTCAAAGGGAGCATTGGCAAAAGCGGCTCTTCGTTGAGTCCTAGTTTATCCAACAAACAAATGGAAACTTAAAGGGACACTGACAGGGTTTTTATGCTCGCCGAGGTTTTTAGTTGTACGTGTCATATGAGAGCTCGACTACCCAGAACAGAATTTGCAGCTCGAAATTCGGTTTCTTTCCGCCCGAAAACCGCCGATCAAGAACTGGCCGGTTCGAGTCTCGCTCACTCTCTTTTTCACGGTCACGGGCCGTTTTCTAAGGTATCGATGCGACCACCAAATTTAATCAAAGTCGTGGGTCACTGAAGGCACACACTCAATATTAAAAATAGAAAAAAATATGAAACCCATTTTTTGTGGCTTCTAAAAAGCTGTAAATACGTTGATTGAAAAAAAAAGTTCCACTGACAACCGGAAGCATTCTGTGCGTTCGTCGTTTCGCGTATCGTGGGACTCGCGGGGACGGCGATGGCAGCGGACGACGGGCGTGGGACCTCTATTTCAGAACTGTCGTTCGCGGTACCGGCGAATTCTGTCTACCTTTAAAAGAGAAATTTGGGACCGATCAAAAGAATTGGTATTCATCCCGTACGACACGCCCGGCCACCAAGCCGATTTGCACGGAGACGTCGCCGAGCCGTCGCTCCCTTCTCGTGGCTGAAGACATCGCTCGCGCAAACGTCGAGCACGACGTGTCTACTTCGAGTTGAAAATGCACGCGTACGATTTCCTTACTAGGTGCGAATGTCCCCAAATCGTGGTGCTTCCCGACTTCGACTCGGGAGTGCTTTTGCTAGAGAAAAATCGACAGCAAACTTTCCAATTCTTACAGTTTACCGGCTGAATTATTACAAAGGAAAGAGATCCACCAGAAAAGAGATACCCCAGTAGCGCAGTGGGAAAGACGTCCGGTTCACACGCGCTAGGACCGGGTTCAATCCCCCGTGAAACTTTTTTTTTTTTTTTTTTTTCAATCATTTTTTGATGTTTACATATCTTTTTTTCTTTTTCTTTTTTTTTTTTTTACAATCATCACTGAAGAAACAAACAAAAATAACAAACAAATGTTGCGGACGATACTTCGCTGAATTAAATGGTATGTGATTCCCTTTTTGACACCTGCGAACTCAATGTAATCACTTTCCACAAAATGCAAGGAGCATATAAATCAGGTAGCGTCCGCTTTCCGAGGTGCCCGTATATGTTCTGCAGGAATTGCAGCCAGCCAATGGTCCCGATCCCGTTGATCTTTCGGAAACTCTGTCGCACAATGCCACTTTTTTTTCGGACGCTACATCTTGGGTGTATTCTTTTCGGAGCCGATCATGGAAATTCACCACGGGCACTCGCTACTCATCTCCGACTCCTCAATGTATGTACAAAACAACTCATCTTGGAGTACAGAACAACGAGCGGAACAAACATAGCTGCAAAAGAATCGCCCGGCGAGCAGTTCCCGCACGCCGCATCGCATGCCGCATGTCGTGTCGTCTGCTACGAAAAGGAAAAAAAACGAAAAAAAAAAAAAACGCACGGCCGGGTGTAGCCATGTTACTTCCGCCACTCACTCTCTTTTCTCCACTTCTTCGACCTCCGTCGGGTTTCGGTTTCGGTTTCGAGCAGTTGCGTCTTTCGGCTTTATTAAAAAAATACGCTACTCTGTTGCAAAATATTAATTGGGTAGTCCTCCGACACCATAATGAAGCCCCTGGCAAAAAATGAAAAAAAAATTTTGGGGGGTGTCAGTGTCCCTTTAAACCACTCCTCGGCCACTCCGCCCAACAATTATGTCTCGGGGCTGCGTGACATCTGCAAAGAACTTTCAGCGCATATCTATAACAAAATAATTAGTGACCCCATCCGTTTTTTTGACGCACTTCTTCCTAGTAGTACACAACACAATCTTCGACACGGCTCTTATAGACCTTTCCAGCGGCAGTCTCGAGCGAAGCGATTTACAGCGCGCGTCCCTGGTTTTGAGAGGGTACGTTAGTGTTGCCCGACTGCACTGGGCTGTGGGTTTTCTAGTCAGTGGGCTGTGGCAGCCTGCCTAGGCGCACTTCCAGACGCTAGTGGAGGCTAGATTATCGCATTCTATTATTTATTTTGCGTTCTATGGCGAATAGAATATCTCTGTGTTTTTAAGAATGCATTATACTATTTTTGGGAACAAAAACAAACAAATGAAAGCCCTTTTTGGTGAGTCTGTGCGGCAGAACAAATGCAACTGGAATATTTGTTTCATTTTATGTTGATCTTTTTATGGCACCGTACGCTCAGCCGTGTCAATCTACAAAAGTCTTAGCCATCGAAAATATTTGACCACACAGGATATCCGAACTGCACGGATATTCCCCGCCCACAACATGAAATTTAACCAGTCTCATCAATTGAACAACATATATTGTATGTACCCCACGGTGCTGCGTTATCCGAACAGGATTTGAGAAAGGTCTCAAATAACACAGCATATCCAATATACAGTGTCGACGATAGTCACTTCATGACAATCGGACGGAATTCGTTGTGTTTTGGGGAACATGTAGAAGAGAGGTGCTTTTTTGCACAGCTTTAAAGCAAATGAACAAACCTGTCTATTCTGCCTCCACACCCCGGACCCGACCCTATCGGCTATTTTTCGCGAAAACCCGGAACATAGCCGGGAAGGCTTTTTGGAGATTATCTCAACGGAAATAATCCTCCAAGAACGTGGAACAGCCCGCGTTGCTGGCTGCTTGATGTTCGCTCTCTTCGTTCGTTTCCTGTGAAGGCCGAGCAGTCTACGAGCCCTGGTATTCCCTGATTCTCACAGTGGAAGATAACACACAAAGGATAAGGATCCTAAACAGACAAATGAAGTAAAAACTTCCAAGAAAGACTGGCGAACTCTGAATGCGCAATGCAGGTGGGAAGTCACGCTGACCGTGTTTCCACAGCTCAGGGGGGTGGCAGAAATTTCTGGTGGATAGGGGTCGCTCGAGTCGCAAAATGGCGGCGGCCAAAGCGCTCTTTTTGCAAAGGTCTATAGAATACTTTGGTCTAGGACAAATTATGGACATCACCAATTAGCGTACTTGATTCCTGATTTCTTAAACAAACATCCAGCCATTAGGGAAATAATCTCAGATTGTGCATCAAAGCGCAGCTTTAAAACTAGTGTAAAGCAGTACCTTCTGTCATGCTACATTGAGTAAATACTTTTAGATTGTATTTTCATTGCGTATGAGTTGTATTACCTGGTTTAGTTATTCCCATAGTGTTAAGAAGAGCACTAACAATTGTATAAGCTCTGTACAAAATATGCTGTGTTGATTGTTGTTGATGTGCTATTGTATCTTCTCATACTTCTTTAATGTTAATTGTTTTTGTTTTCGCCTGCTGAGCAGTGTAAATGGGTGATAGGGCCACGTCAGGCAGAGTTAGTATGTCTTGCCCTGTTGCCCTAGACCTAGTGCCTAAATGAAACCAATTCAATTCAAAGCCCCTCTGTGCACATAGCAACGCGTGTTGCCACTGGCACTTACCCATGAGCAGGGGACCGAAGCAGACACGAAACGTCGGGGGCACTATTTAATAAACTTGGTCAGAGCAATTTTTGTCAGAGGGACATACTGTCGCTAAGGTAACAAGTACTTTCAAATGAATCTTTACACTTTAAAACATTCCGCAAAGTGTAACGATTGGTAGTGACGCATCGGGATTTGTCTAGAAGATTTCTTTTACAGGTTGCAGTATCATGTCAAAAGCTTAATCTTAACTCATGGTTTATGGCAAAAGAGCAATCCCAAACTCATACATTTTGTTTTTCTCATGCCAAGGAATAAGTCGCTGCCTGGTGAACTTCCTGTAACTAACGGAGGAATGAGTCGCATCTGTGGATCCTTGTCATCCAAGTTTCCTGCATTTTTCTGTGTCCGTGGGGTTAGGGGCTAACAAGGACGAATCTTATTAACAAAGGCAAACGAGAGATAAATTACATTGAATTTTCACTTTAAAATGTTTCACAAAATGCAAACTCAGTGTGGCACACTGTAATTTGTTTAGAAGGCATCTCTTCCATGCTGCGGTATCAGGTCAAGAGCTTAATCTGAACTCGTCATTTATGACAAGTGGGAACTCGCAAAACCTAATTTCGTTTGCTGAGTAATGACTTCCAACCTGGTGAACTTCGTCTGAACTTGTGGAGTATGGTTGGCGTGTGCACACTTGTCATCTGTGTTCCCCACCTTCCTCCAAATCCGTGGAGTTGCAGGCTAAGTAGGACGAATTTTATTTCCAAACATGAGGAGAGGAGTGACATTGGATTCTACCACTCAATAATAGTAGTGTCCTATGTATGCAGATAAGCTATGCAGGTAATTTAGGGTGGTGTACAAGGGCGACTAGAAAATGAACAAGTACTTCGCAAGCTACAAAAGGGGTTTAGAAGGCACGGAAGAGTAAACTCTATTCCTTTAAGCACACTGCATTGTGATTGCACAAGGGAAAAACCAGCCAACCTGGCTAGCATTGTTAGACAGCAAAGAATCTAAATCGCCTTTTCACACACACACACACACACACAGACACGCACACACACCCTTGGTAAGGTAGGGAAAGTATGCGGGGGGGGGGGGGGGATTGGTGGCCGAGTGGGCTGAAGCGCACACCCAGCTCGACGCGCGTGGAGCGAAAGCTCGACGCGCGTGGAGCGAAAGCTCGCGCTGCAGAACCCAGGGATCCTGGGTTCGAGCCCCACCCCTGCCCGTTTCGATCTGGATGAGCATCGTACCGGCGTGCGGTCGTGTATCACTACTGCGTGGTGCACGTTAAAGACCCCAGGCTAGCGGTTGTAACTGCACTGGCTAAATTGCTCATCTACAGCCTGTGACTCGTTGCAACTTTAATGGCTGACCAACTACACGCTGTATAAATATCCCCACAACCCCAATTATTATTATTAAAGTATGCGGGCAGCACTGACACTATTGACTGCTGTACAGCAGTTCACTTTTAGGAACCTTGCAGTAACACAACTGACTAGGTGAGAATGCATCTGGTGTGCCTTGCAATATCAACAACAGTTTTGTTGAAATTCTGCTACCTTTGCTGTAATGTTCCCAACATTTTCATTCTTTTTTGTCTTTTACCTTACAGAGTATGAATTTCCGTCATCGTTCACGGCTGAAGAGCGGGCTTTCATCCACAAATACTGCCTGTCACTCGGTCTCAAGTCCAAAAGCAGAGGGTAAGTTACAGTCCATTATTTAATGTTTAGTCTTCCGATATTATTGTGATGTCTCTGCTCTCAAATCTCCGCTAATGTGCACTCTACTTACACTTTTTTCTTCAATAGGTTCTATCTCTGCCTCCAACATATGCTGCACGGCATTGTTAGCGTGAACAAGCAATCGCCAGTTTTCGCGGTTTTTACCTTAAAACTGAATTGCTGCCATAAAGATTACTAGTGTGGAAGAAAGTCCTCATTTAGAGCAGTAACCTAGGCGAGAAAGTTTGGTGCAAATTGATACTTGTGAGTAAAGTGCCAATGTCTTGTTTGCGCTAACAGTGTTGCGCAGTGTGCATTAAATGCTGAAAGAAACTACTTAAAAGAATTCGACTAAACTTCAGTTCAGGACTCCTCAGTGAGCTTTCAAGAAGCCAGACCACTTGTGCATTTGGCAAAGAGTAGGTATTTTCAGAACTATATATACTTACAAGTTGCTGTACTAGATGAAGCCATTGTCGCTCTTGGCATCTGTTTTCTCATGGTGCCACCCATTGTCACGGAGCTTCTGCTCTCTGACATGAGGAACCATGGTGTGGGCTTCGAAGTCAAAGCGACTCCGTGCACCCGACAGTGCTCTATAACTACATGGAGTGACTTCTATAGAGTCATGTCCTCGTAATGTGAACCCGATTAATTCGAATATTCCGCTATATGGACAACATTTTTAGGGACAAAATGGATAAATACACTCATTCTTGTCCCGTTATTATGGACAATTCACGTTATGGATACTTTTCGCGGGGAACGGAGGTGTTCATATTGACGAGGCATCACTGTGCACCAACATTTTCCTGAAAACCGCCGTTTAGAGGGGTGTACAGCTAATGGATAAGTGTGATTCATAAAACAGAAAATATGGTAAGTCTTCGAAAGAAATTACAACCTCCTTGACCCACTTATTGCATTTACTGGTCAACTTCTGAACATAAGCCTTTTTTCTGGACACCGAGCGCACGCATCCTTTGTCTAAGTGCTAGTACAGCAGACGAAGATTTAAGGTGTGCCTCGAAATGTTTGCAGCAAGGGTGCCAACCGCTTCTTGACGGCATACAAAAAGGCAGGCTCCACCATTGTCCAAGCGGATGCGTCCTTCACAATGGGTCCCCTGTCGTGCCAGTACGCCGTGGTCCTTCTGCAAAAGTTCCCGGTCAACATCAGTGAACGACAGGACCTCCTACCGCCCACGGAACGGGATCGCCTGATTGGTCACGAGGGTCAGTTGGCTTGCCTGCCTTGTTCGTCTCATGTGCCTCGTTGTCTCTGCTTAAAGTTCAATTGGCCACGCTTGCTTTTTTAAGTCGGAACAATGTCCCAGATTAATGTGCAATCGCGGAGAGATGGCGGACATTTTGAAACAAAGCAGAGAAAGGTTGATAGAAAAGTTGAAACTAGTCTGCTGGCTAGTGTATAGCACATAACAAAATGTATAGCGTTGTGCGTTATGCGGGCGTTAAACATTATGGTGTACAATGTATAACGTAGTATATAATGTTTTACATTCCTCGTGAATTCGGTTTTGAGTGTGTCGTTTTGTTGCGTCGTGTCTAGCGCAGTATTCCTCTCGCTACATGCAAGCTGCGGTTGCGCGATGCTGACCAATGCGCTGCTGTAAACGACAATGTGGTTCGGTGTATGAGGTTGAGTTGTGTTGCCTCCGGTGCACTGCTTTTTACGCTACTACGAGCACAGATGAGCTCTGATCTTACAGTTTGAGCTATCAGACGCCTTCGCACAGCCCAAACCATTCAGTTCTGGAACTTCCCGAAGACGCTGTATATTGTAGGGCGCGACAAAAGCTGTATTTGAATTTTTGTGGCAGTGGCGTTGTTGGCACACTTGACCCATACTTTATTGTAGTAGTGGGCTTCTGCAATAAATACCATGAATTATCTGCTCTGCGCTTTAAAACAGAACGAAGCCCACATATATATTTTTTCTGGAAACTAGGGTCGACTTAACAGACCTATTGTATGTGTGTCACGCTAGTAGGCGGTCCGGTTTCTGCTGTAGAACCAGGCAAGCACCAATTTGAAGTCTCTCTAATTCTTACAACGAAGCAAGGATGTCAATGCAACAAGAAGTAGTTTGTGAACACGTTATCACTAAGAACACTCTAAACTATTTCTTAAGTTGTTTGTCACCGCTAAAAGCATGACAGAGAGTAGTTGAGGATGGTCATAACAATGATTTCTCCTAATAGAGAGTGCTTCCCCTTTCATGTACACCACTCAGAGAGACCCCCCTTCAAACCTAATAACGTTGGCACAGCCCTATGCTTACCACTAAAATAACAACGCTGTTGCGCTTATTTTTTTATTTTTTTAAGTAGTGCAGGTTAGATTTTTGGCCAAAGCAGGAAGGGCGTGTTTAACGAGAAATGTGTAGACTCGGACATGCACCCAATGAGCAGCGCAACAATATAAAAGTTTAGAACCAGAATTGAAGATTAAATTTTGCTAACCAATCATTACGAAAGAAAAGGAAGAGAAGAATATAATGCTTCAGGAAAGCAATGTAAATGGGTAAAATAGGTGACTGAAAGATAGTTTATGGAAGGCAGTTTCATTCGGATATGGCGCACTCCTTTCTTGGGTGCAGTCAGAGACGTGAACCGCACGACGGCGCGTCTCAACTGCGGCATTCCGCAAGTTCCCCCGCTCTGCGAAGCGTCCCCGCTCGAGGCCCAGCGTCAGCAGCTTCCCATCTGGCAGAGCCGCGAAGTCCTGGTGTCCACCATTGCCCGGAACCAGGTCACCATCGTGGTGGGGGAGACCGGCTGCGGCAAGACCACCCAGGTGAACTCTCGGGCCTCGCCCTTGCAGACAATCTCCGTAGAGCGACAGTATGTCGCCTGGCCAGCATTAATTTTCTTTACACTTGTCATTGCACTTGTAATCATATCAGCAAAAAAAAAAAAAAGAGAGTTTTGCTTGTGGTTCGTACGTTCTGCAAAGTTGTACTTTTAAGATTGGGTTGTTGGAGGACAAAAACAACCACACAATGCTAGCCGCAAGCAGCGGCGGGAGCCATTGTGTTGTTGAAAGGTGTGCTTCGGGGGCTCTGCTTTTAGTCGACGTGCTTTAGAAGATCTGCTTTTAGTCAATAGGACTTGGGATATTAATAAATGTTCTCTGGCTAGGTGTTTGGCATTTTGTGAAGCCGAAAAGCGAAGCCCGGATAGAAGTGTGGCCGCGAGGCTCAACACTGATTGGTTGGCGGGTGGCAGAGGAGGGGTGAGGTGCTCGATGCTGATTGGTTAACATGGAGGTCATGTGACCAGAGTGGTAGGGGTGGAGGAGCTCGTGAGTATGGAAGTTCTGGAAGATCGCCAGGTTTATTAGCCTGATTACCGATAGTATTGCTTCATCCTGTGAACAACAACCGAGTGTATACACGGTATGCGTTAAACCATCTGATGCAGAGCGCCATGAACGTAGACATCTGGCGTCTGAAAACTCAGAGTATCGCTAAACGTTTCTGATGGTGGAGCGTTTCATGTATGCAACGCAATTGCCAGAAATTTTTGCTTTAGGAGCTACTCTAAGCAGAGGGGAGGAGGGCTGGTTTCCTCCTTTTTGCTCGACCGTCGGCGGCTTGCACGATTTTGGTTCGACGATGTTTCTGTTCCGTCGGTCGTTGCGATCTCGCGTTTCTGCCGCCCCGCAGGTGCCGCAGTATCTGCTGGAGCACCACGCAAGCGTCGGCCAGCCGATCCGGATCATCTGCACGGAGCCGCGGCGCCTGGCCGCCGTGGCCGTGGCCGAGAGGGTATCCGCGGAGCGAAACGAGCGGCTGGGTCACACGGTCGGATACCAGATACGACTGGAAAACAGGTGGGCGTTGCCGGAGCCTCCGTGTAAGCTACGCTTCAGCCACCCCGTTGCTTGAAGTCGTGTCGTACGCATCTCGTGCACGGCTATTTCCTGCTTTGGGAAGAAGCTGCCACATGCAATTACTGTAACAACATCCGAGGCATTCTCCGCATTCTTGTTAAGTGTCCGACGTGTGTTGGGGAGCTTCTGCATTTTTCCCTGCTTTGTAGAGAGCATGTGCCGCTCCCCCTAGCACTTTTTCTAGGACAGTAACCTCTCTCGACCCATGAATGTTTTCCAACTTTGGCCTTGTGGTTGGCCTTCTATGCCGATCGTAACTCGTTTCAACCTGGAACACGTGCCCATCACTGCTAGTATTTCTGGAAATTTATTCGCACCTTTTATTTGGTCACCAGATACCAAGGCTACGTTGGCTATAGTCTGGTTTTGGGCGCCCTATGACCTTTGCAGCTTTTGCGCCAACAAAACCCAAACGCTCGCTTAAAATCGTGATTGCCAGTCATCTGAAGCTTTATCTGAAATCTCTAGAATCGATTTTCCGACCTCCAACAACGTTAGAACAGTTCGCAACGGAGCAAAACAGTTTCGTCCGAGGCGGTAAAGCTGGATGCGAGAGCTCTGGCACCAAGCAGGCTCAATGGGAGTGGTGCAGCTGCTTCATAAAAGCGTTCCACGAGAACCCTGTACTGCACCTCTAATATTCTAAATAAATGCATAAAATTCTGGCAGATCAGGCAGAGGCCTACCCTGTGCCCTTTTTGCATTTCTGCTCTCAAACCTGACAAGCACCCACTCCAATTTTTTCGCGACTATCTCCAAGTTTCGCGCGGGCACTCGCTTGGTATTTCACGATAAGTCGCGTGACGATGAGTCCGGAAGGCCTCGATCCCCCCCGACGGGAGTTTGTGCGGGACGAATAGAACCCAACTCAAGGTGTTTGGGATGTGTGTCGCTTAAGTTGCGGTCGCACTCCTAATTCATCGTACAATGGATGGTCTACAGAAACTATCAGAGGCATGTTTTTTTCCTCGTCCTCTCATATTTTTGCACAAAACTGTCTGCAAACATGTTTGAATCGCACGTATACATGAATCGAACGTGCATCGAACGTGCTCGAGGGATGTCTGCAGGAAATTCTGTCATCACGCCTGCAGCGAACGCCGCGTCTTTTGTGCAAGGTACGAGCAGTTTGACTTGGGCTTTACTGTTCCCAGGGTGTCGCCAAAGACCCTCCTTACGGTGTGCACCAACGGCATCCTCCTGCGCACCTTGATGGGGAACGACTCCGCCATGGCAACCATCACTCACGTCATTGTGGTGAGCTCTTCTTTCCTCGGATCCCTTTGCCTCCCGATCAACCGCTTTAAAGGGACGCCGACAGGGTGTTTATGCTCGCCGAAGTCTTCATTGAAACCGACTACGCGGAACGCAATTTGCGGCTCAAAATTTGTTTTTTTTCCTCCCGAAAACGGCCAGTAGGGAATTGGCCGATTTCAGACGCGCTCGCTGTCTTTTCATTGGTCACGTTGCGTTCAAACTATAGCGTACCAAATATATTCAAAGTCGTGGGTCATCTAAGGCACATATTCGATGCTAAAAATAAAACAAAAAAGAATTGAAACCCCATTTTTTGTGGCTTCCGAAAAGCTGCAAAAGCTTTGATTGAAAAAAAAAAAAAAAAATGGTGTATAGGTCACAGGAAGTATGCGTAAACGTCATTCTTAATATGGTGATGCACCGCGTGCTGAACGACGCGATGATGGCGCACGACGGACCAACTTTGCAACGGACGTGGGATTGTCATTCAATTCGACGGTACCACAAACTATCGTTTGTGGCACCATCCAATCTATCTTCGAGCGGAAAAGGATATCAGTGCAAGAACAATCGTACGAAAAATGTTGCACGCAACTTCATTGTCGTCATCATCTGCTTCACGCGCCAAAGGAACAAAAAAAAAAAAAGATGCGGTCGGGTGTAGCGCGGAACTTCCGGCAAGTTTCTCCTCCTCGGTACACATTGTCCGCATGTTGTGGCCATGAGCCTCCGTGCCCGTTTTGATTTTGAGCAGTTGAGTTTTTTGGCTTTATTAAAAATATGCGTGGCTCTGTAGCAAATTATGGATTGGGTAGTCTCCTGACACTAACTTAAATGTCCTGTCAAAAAATTTAAAAAAAGAAAAATTTTTGGGGGTGGGATGTCAGTGTCCCTTTAAGCTGGCCTTACTTTTTCTTGTACGTCTCATCAAATTTGGCATGTACATGTGTTTATGAATAGCAGTTTTAGACTTGCAATTATACTCAAAGTACTATTTCTTTTCGAATAAAAAAATATGGTGAGGTATCTCAGCCAGATTTGTAGGTCATTTCTAATGGGTCATTAGAATTACTTTTCAGTAAAGCAGTTTTCTAGAGTATTTTTGATCTATTAAACTCACTAGAAAAACGAAAGTTCTAGGATGCGCCTTAACAAATATATAAAGCTGAGAAAAATATGCTCGAGGTTTATTCCATGTTCTGAATCGGGCCCTTTGACACTTACGATTTTCTTCTCTAATATCTAGACTAGAGATTGCACTTTAACTTTTCTTTGGCTGTCACATTTCATCAGGCTCGAATTGCTCTTCGAGGCAGTATTTTGTATTTCTCATTCAAAGAACTGCCTTCTACTGCCTCGGTTGAACGTTTAAAGCTACCCTCATTAGAAATCGGACAGCCTTCAGAAAAATGCAGCCATGCCTACTGGCTTGGCACGGGAGGTTTCGAGACATCATTTTATTTGGTCCTTCATCTTTAACATTGTCATTGTTGTTTATCCACAAAACCTCGCATAGGACGAGGTCCACGAACGTGACCGGTTCAGCGACTTCCTGCTGATCGTGCTGCGCGACCTGCTGCCCAAGTTCCGCAACCTCAAGCTGATCCTCATGTCGGCCACCGTAGACGTCGAGCACTTTGTCAAGTACTTCGGCGGCTGTCCCGTCGTGGAAGGTGGGGCCCCCTGTCCTCTCTGTTTGCCATAACATTTCGGATGACTGCATCTCTGCAAAATAGAGGGCTCGAGAACTGGTGGAAATCGTCATGATTGAAACTTCTGTTGCAATTTCAGGGGAGAGGGACAGGGGGTGTGAAAATGTGACATGCTTGACACCCTAGCTGTAGGCAGCCATGGCTATATATTGCACGTGCATTTTCTGTTTGGATTAGGTTTCTGCCATTAGTGCTTAGATGCTAAATCCAGCTCAAACGGTAAAAACAAAAACAAAACTGCTTTTTTTAAAACAAAAAACATATGTTTTAGGAAATGTCTTAACTAGGACAAAACTGCAAATCATATTGAACGAATCGGCGCATGCTGGTAATGTTACTAGAATAAAAAAAAAAAGGACATAGATGGGACAAAGAACCTTTTCACATGTTTTGTCCCGTCTTTGTCCTTTTTATTGCTTTTCTTTTAGTCTTGCAAATCATTGTTGTTTGACTAATTTGGATTTTAATTTACCTGGCTCCAGAAGGAGCGACGGTGCGCTAGCAAGTTTGGCTAATCATTTTACCGGTCGCTGATGCGAGAGCTTTTTCAGGGAGATATTCTGGGTTTCACGGTTTCATGACCTTAGTACCGCTTTCTACTTCCTCTTTTGCATAAAGTGATTGTGCATTGATTGTTTTGTGCTGTTGTCTCGCCCGTTGTTTGCCCCCAGTTCCTGCCAAGTCCCACGAAGTGAAGGTGTACTTTCTGGAAGACGTGCTGCGCCTGTAAGCACCTTTTATGCCGGATCCATTGTCTTTCCTTCCCTGTGGGCCTGCACCACTACAACGTTGGTTAGGCTTCTATATTCCGGTGAGCTGAGAACGGTGTTTTAGACAACATTTGATTTAGTTTCCCGGGTTTAAATTCGTATGGTATAACCCAAACTAGTATAACCCAAACGAGCCAAACCAGCTGAGATGCCTCGTTCAAACACTCGGCATTAGAGCCATCTTGGAGACACGGCAGAAAGCAGACCCGCTTTCGCTCTCGAACTGCATTTTCTCGCAAGTAAATTCCGTTTTCCCTCTTTTAACCCTCTTACTACGATAGCAATGAGTTCTTAAAATGTGACACCTTACCTCATCCGCCGTTGCTGCATTCAAGTAGAACTTGAGCTCCTAGTTACGTATAAATTTTTGTTCTTCCGCACTTTTTTTTTTACCTTGTAACTTGGCGGCGTATGGTGCTTCGTTTGCAGGACGAACTACACGAGTGGCGAAATGGTGAAGCTCAAGTCTGTCCAGCGCAAGACGGAGGCTCAGAGGGCGCAACTGGCCAAGTGGTGCGAGGGAACGCAGTCGCAGAACGCGTCCCACCTCGGTCTTGCAGCGTCTCGGGTGGGCCCCTTTTTTGCGCCGCAGACGGGTCGGCGAATCTTCCACGTCGCCCAACATCTCGGCTCGCCGCACGACCCGAGATGTTGGGCAACGTGATGTTGCCCCGCTTCGCATTAAGTCCGCTAAGTCGACATTAAGCCGGTCGAGCGGCACCAGAAGTGCATCGTTGTGGCGCTCGTCGTCTTTGGGCGATTGCCATCGTCGGCCGAACCAGTCGGGCACGGCGAATGCGACGTGGTCTTACGTGGAGTAAATGCCATAAAAATGCGAATGAGCGGCATGCGCCGCTCAATCGTATGCTCAAGGGTGTCTGTCATATTTGCAATCGTCCTAGAAGTCGTCCTAGACTCCTGGGATGACCTCACTTGCCACATTATGTGAAAAAAAAAGTGTCGACGTTGTTCTTGAGAGATGGCGTGTGCAAAAGGTGCGCTTCAAACTTCATCTGTGCTCCTTGTGTGCTTTGTGTGATGGACCGTGAGGCGACCGTGTTTACATCTATGGCAAATACGCCACTGCCTCCTTAAGTGTCGTCCTCTAGGCGTCATTCTCGACGTCATCCTTAAGGTTGTCCTAGAGGTCGTCCTAGAGGTCATTCTCGACGTCATCCTAGAGGTCGTCCTAGAGCTCGCCCTAGACTGGCTTTCGCCTTCCTATACGTAAGCAGTCTTAAGTGTACTCGGGGAATTTTCTGAGCGTGATTGGTTTGGCTGTTGAAAGCAAACGCTCATAAACGATAAGTGCTGTGGCAACGCGACTTTTGTGCAACTCAATCGGCTTCTTCGGATCGTAGCATCAGCCGTGGCCGGACTTAATGTGAAACGTAATATGGTGAATGTTCGCGTCTTTGGAGCTGGTACACTCGAATGCCTCCGTAACAAGCGCCTCTTCTAAAATGATGCCCCTAAAGTAGCATCAAAGTCCTCCGCTGTTTTCTAAAGTTCCGCCGTGCCGGCTGCAGTCACTGACGAAATGAGAACGGCAGGGCGTGTTTTTCAATTGCCCGGCGTGCGCGAGATGCCTTTGTCGAAGGTAAGAAGATCACCCCGGAGGCGGGGCAACCGGAGCTCCTCCCTGCCATTCCCACCTTGCCAGTGACTACGGCACATTCTTGTCTAGCGAACGTGTCTTTTCGACGAATAATGGAAGAACACGAACGGCACCACAGATGGGGACATGTGAAAGAGCCGTCTCTCTTTGTTTTCTCGCTTTGCAAAGGAGGGCTTGGAGGTGAAGGAGGGGGAGGAGGAAGGTGCCCAGAGGCTGGACTCGACTCTCGCCGCCGAGATGGACCGTGCGTTGCACCAGGCCTGGATGAGTGGCACCGACGAGGCCTTCTCGCAGTTGCTCTACCACTTCCTCTCCGAAAACGTCAATGGTGAGTGAAGACAAGCGCGGAGCACGGCGCGTGGCGAGCGCCGACGCGGTCCTTGGATTGTTCCCGGTCTGGAACCTTTTCGTCGCTCTATGGAGATGTTTTAGAGCGCAGCTCTTGGGGGCCCGTTTCCGGCTTAAGCGGCGTTGGCGTCAGCGTAACCGCGAGGTCACGTGACCCCCTTAGGTCACATGACCCCCTTAGGTCACGTGACCCCCTGAAGTCACGTGACCCCCCTGAAGTCACGTGACCCCCTAAGGTCATGTGACCCCCCAGGTCACGTGACCCCTGAGGTCACGTGGCTCCCTGAAGTCACGTGACCACCTGAGGTCACGTGACCCCCTTGAGGTCACGTGACCTCAAGGAGTCACCTATCCCTCCGTACGCTTACATCTTCCTCCTCAAGAGCTGCGCTTTAACCGGCGTTGCAGGGAATTGTAAACGGCTTTCATTTTTTCCTAGAGCACTATATGGCTTCTACGGAGCAGAGTAACACCATCCTTTGATTCGCGTCTTTTGCTGACAACATGGCCGACAGAGCAGCTCGGCGTGAGTCGCGTGGTATTCGGGGTTCCAGGAGATGGCCCGTCCTATGGGAGAACACATGGAGATGGACACAACGCGGCTGATTAAAAAATAAACGCCAAGTTCACACTTTTCAAAACTAGTCTGTCGTGAAGTTGGTAAAGCACTAAACACTTTATGAAAGATTTCATAATATTGGATGCGTGTGAAAATTTTGAGAAGGCAATTTCCGAGGCAGGGGCGTTTGAAGCAGTTGATTTTTTTTATGCAGCGGTGGTTGGCCGGAGGGGGTCACGTGAATGGTGTGATGTCTCTTTCGCGCGTCTTCCGAACAGCGTAAGAGACCGTGTATGCACGTAGATTTTTTTTTTATAGGTGCTTCCGAGCGATTGTTTTCCACTGTGTTGCGTCGTCTGCTGCATAATGCCGCTCGGGCAATTTTTAAAAATATTTTGTGGGGGTCAACCAATTGGATTGCTCGGAGAGCCGCACGGATGGACGGGGGTTCGGAGAAGCCGACGTGGGGGAAGTCACCTTACGCGTCTACCCTTTTATAAAAGAACCCACTGACCCGTCGAAAAGATGGACGATTGGAAATTCCACCTATACCCGAGACGTAGGGGTCATATTATTCTGGAATGATCGAAAGGGGATCTGGAGAATGCTACATCTGCTTTAAAAACAATTATCGAAGCCATTCCCATCTTAAAAAAAAAAAAAAAAAAAAAGATTTTCTTTACTCCTGCATGGGTCAGCTCTGCTTGCTATGACTAAATTAACTAGGGTAGAAGCTGACAAAGTCTCCAGAAGCTAGAAAGTTCTAGGTGCCGACCTCGAAAGTGATATTCTGCTGCTGCTTTTTATTCATTAAGGCCTTTCGTACAATCTGGTACCACCGGAACCAACTAAGGCATCCTTTATGCTCCGTCCGAGGTGGCGGAAATATGTTCGAAGATGGCATACTGCTTCCTCTAAATTTATTATACCTCATAATAAGTTTTAATGGAAACAGAATATTTGAAAAAGGGTTCGAACTGCTAGCTGAATGCCATCTTTGCTGGGAGTTTCTCGAGTTCGGCGGAGATTAGCCGAGAGAATAATTGTCGTGGTAAGGGTGGCTAACTAACGAAAATCTGTTAATTTGCTTTTTTAGATTATTAGTTTTACAGGTCATGTTGCATCTGCAGAATTGATGGCAATTGGTATTAGAGGTCAGACCAATTTAAAGAATTTGCAAAAGATGAATTGTATTTGAGATTTTGATTAATCAGTTTATAGCCCTCCCCACAACGACGTTTGAAAGAGTCATTGTGGGCAGGGCTTGCACTGTGCTTTTTGCACGCAACATTTTAAATCTGGCTAAAAAGCGCAAAATTTAATTATTAATATATCAAAAACTAATAAAATATTGCAAATTCTTTTAATTTGTGTGGCCTCTAATAATAATTGCCATCATTTGTTCAATTCCAACGTGACCCATAAAACCAGTAATTAAAAAGCTTACACATTTGAGTTAATTAGACAATTTACCACAATGATTATTCCCTCAGCTAATCTTCTCTGAACTCGAGAAACACCTAGCGAAGACGGCATTCAGCGAGCAGTCTGTGCTCTTTTTTAAAAATAATTTATTTCTCCAGTAAAAAATATTACCCGTAGGTACTCTGAAGTTAGTGTAAAAGGAGCGCCTTAATTTTTTAAAATCTTTTTATTGCTTTTTTTTCTTTAATATTTGGATGATATTTGTGGCGGTCACGGTCAGGTAAACCTCGCTGAATACAGGAACGCACCGGGGAGGGAGAGCCTTATCGCCAGCTTCGGTCGAGAGCAGGCAACAGAAACGCGCTTGGTTGTGGTTGTCTGCAGTGGACCACCGTCACAGTGAGACGAGCGCCACTGCGCTGATGCTGGCCGCCGGACGGGGCAAGACGGAGGTGGTGGAGGAACTGCTGGCGCTGGGCGCAGACCCCCGCGCCAAGGCCTCCAACGACTGGACGGCGCTCGACTGGGCCCAGCACTTCCAGCAGGAAGACGCCGTGCAAGTGCTCCTCGCACACCTGTGAGTTGTTCTGCGTAAAACTACACGAGTATGTACAGGGTATTCCCCCCAAAAATTTTCAAGATTTCTCTCATCGCAAAAACAAGCTATGCTGCGCCGAATGCTCATTTCCTGTCCAAAAGTAGCGCTAGGGGTCCGAACCGAATGCCAAAGTTTCAGCTGTAATTGACATCTTATTCAAAAGTAAGAAATGGTTTTATGAAAATTTCGGTGGGAAAACGGCGGACGTGGAACTCGACGGCGCCAAAAACCTCGAACGGCGCTTGAATTTTCTGGTTGATCCAAAAGCGGCAGAATTTGCGATGAAGTTGAGTTTCATCGGATGTCTCGTGATTTTGATGGTGTGGGCAAACATTGTGATGGGCATGTGGATTAGTTGAGAAGTTTACAGCGCATGATTCATGTAGTACAACATTGCCTGTTTGGCTGATAGCCGAAGCTGGTTCGTCGTGGGAGCTGTCTTTGGTGCTTGATGTTCTGAATGCAGGCTGGTGCTTCAGAGCGGGATTTCAAGACCGGACACCGGGGTGCCGGATCTGAGCGATGCGGATCGTGAGCATTTGGAGCTCTACCAGCGGAGCATCGACGACGACCAAACGGACCTGGACCTGGTGTTTGCTTTGCTCCGTACGCTCCACGGCAGTCAGGACGAAGGTGCTTTGAACGCGTGCCATTTATATCGCTGAATTGATGTATAAAAGTGTGTTTGTCTTTTTTATTATAAAGCATAATGCTTTTTTTATTGTTGCAGCACCAAGAAAGTGGTTTTCACAGTCCCGTGTCATATAACGGAAAGTGGCGATAAATATTTGTTAATTAAAAAAAATTTTTTTTAATTTGGTGAGTGGTTGTTTAAGGTGACTTGTACATGCCTCTACACTTGCGTCTCATGCACACCTTTCACCCTTAAAATCGTTTATGATGTGACTCATCCGGAATAACGGGACAAAGATGCATGTATTGATCCAGTTGATCCCCGAAACAATCTTGTCTGTGTAGCGGGGTTAATGAGGCACGACTGTACCGCTGCCCACTCAAGCATTTGCTTTTGGTACAAAATGGAGGAGCAGAAAGTTTTCTGCTCACATAGCTTCCACTTGACGATAGACTAATGCCACTGGCTGTTTCTGAAAAACGAAAACCCGAAGGCGTACGGCAAGCCTTCGTCATGAGAGTCGGTCACCACTGCTGTTTGATGAGAATGACATGGATATTCTAGAATGACTAATAAAGGACGTCCAAGCCAAGCCCTAATTAGGGGCCTAATGTTTCAAGGCCTACCCAGCCACCTCTTCAGGGTGACTTTCTATGGATGACCTGAAGAGCAGCGACTTTGTCTTTGTTTTCTTTTATAGTGGTGTATGTCTGTTTTGTCCGATGATGTGAGGAAGACTGTTGATGCAGGTGGATTGTGAAGTGCCATGGGCGCTAGCATTGACGTTTTCTGGTGTAGTTTGAATATGCTACCGTTCCAACATTTTAGAATGTTTCGTCGCTTTTACATCTTCCGGCTCGAGCTCGCCATAAATCCCTACTCGTGTTGCAGGGGCCATACTGGTGTTCCTTGCCGGCTTTGACGACATGGCTTCCTTGAAGGAGAAGATTCTGGCGGATCACCACAACTTCTCGAGCCAGATGAGGTACGCGATAGATAAAGTATGTCGTCGTCGTCGCGTCGTTACGTCCCGTATGCAGTACAGGCATTACAAAAATATTTAAATTGTTGTTTCTTTCTTTTTAATTGTAAGGTATGTCCTGTGCATGCTGCACTCCAACGTGCAGTGCAGCGAACAGCGGCAGGTCTTCAACACTATGCCTCCGGGTGTGCGGAAGATTGTGAGTTGCTGTCTTCATTTCCCGGCCCAGCTGCATTCTTTTGTCGAGATCGGCTTGTCTGCCTTATTTCACGGTGCAGCTAAGATCGGGTGCTTCCAGGTTTTAATTAATTTTTTCCCCAGTACAATACTATGTCTCAATTTTTTTTTTTTTTTTTACAAAAGGTGACTAATTCTTGAAGAAAGCAGCCAACTCAAAATGAATAGTGCCGAGCAAATTTTAACGGAAGCGGAGTTTTGATTTCTGTTGCCATCGCCGTAGCCATGGTCGTACCATGCCCTCGCTATTTACGTTTAGCGGGCTAACTTCTTGAACAGTTTAGCTGGTCATGTCACGTGGACGGGGCAACTATGGGTCACAAGCCACTACAGGCCCTGCCAGGTCATGTGACATCACATGACCTGAGGATTGTGGTCAAGCAACACAACGTCCCATTCTCTCCTCCCAGATTTGCGTATCAGTATGTATATCCCTAGGGCATTCAATTTGCAGTACACTTTGGTGGTAGATCAAAGTAATGCCTTAATTTTTTCCTTATAAAAGATGGAGCAATAGAAATCCATACTTGCATTATTTTTGTAGTGGTCATCATGGTGATCTCTCATATTTTTCTGGGTTTCAGTACTTCTACCGATGCAGCGGAAACATTTTGTAAACCTAAAATGCTTAATGAGCGTAATGTTCCAAAAAGGCATAAGACTTCCAACAGATTGCCCGTCCCGTTTCTCTGGCCTCGCAGATCCTGTCGACCAACATAGCCGAGACGAGCATCACCATCAGCGACGTGAGCTTTGTCATCGACTCCGGAAAAGTGAAAGAGGTGAGCCGTGTGCGAAGAAGGGTGCTGGCACGCGAAGAAGGGTGCTGGCACGCGACTTCAAAGCTATAAACTGAAGTTGTAGATGCAACAGTCAGAGAATCGGGAACACGGGTTGCGGTCGTACTAGTACAATAGGCCCGTTGCAATACGTGCAGTGCCACGACGGCGGGGGATTTTTGGGCATCCTCAATACAGATCACGCGCTTCCTCAATGCATCTTTCTGACTGTGCACGAGTCGTGGCAGCTTCCACCAGTAGCCGTCGCCACCATCCCAGCCATGCGCTAGAACGTCATACATCGTTGGCGGCGTAGCGCATCTGCATAAATGCATCAGGACAGGATTTGAACACGTGGTGTGTCATAACTTACCTCCAAGTCTTGCAGTGTCACCGAATCCTTTTATTTTGCACTGCCACCGGGGCAGGGTTCGACTAGGTTCGACTAGAGTCGCTGAATGTTCCCAGAGTACCGAGTTCCATTCAGTCTGCTTACCAAAAGTCAAACCGCAGACTCCAGTTCCGATTTCCCGGTTTAGCCCGTGGCGGAAGTCATCAGTCGGCTATTTTGGAGATAGGCCCAAAACAGCGAAAAACGCATATGAAACGTTTCCGCGTTTCCACGGGTGCGAACTCTGGGCATCGATGAGTTAGGACCGAACTGAAGGTGCTTTAACTTTCTCTAGATTTCTTTTTTTTTTTTTTTTTTTATATCAAGTAGCCACTGATTTGGTTTGCCAAAGAAGGTTAAAACTCGGTTGCTCGATCCGGTTGTGCCGGTGCTGCGTTTCAAACTTCACACCTCAGACGCTAAGCCTAACATTAGACTTCGTTGGGTTTCGAGGCGAAGGAGGGAGATGAGACGGCGAGAAGCAAGTCTCACACCGCTCGGAACAAAGGAAATGACTTTAATACAAACAAACCAGCGTCACCACGGGCCAGGAACGTGGATTGAAGGGCTGTATGAGAATGAATGCTGTGCTCTACATGCTTCGCTTCGACTGCACAGGGCAGCGTCATATCGGGGATTGCGTCTGCTGAGCCACGACTTCGACTTGGTTCTGAAACGAAGCTTCGGAGTTTCGGTACTCTGGGAACATTCTGTGGCTCTAGGTTCGACAGAGCATCGGTCCAGCAGACGACGGAGCCGGTACGAAGGGGAGGGGTGAGAAAGGGGTAGCGATACCCTCTCCCCCATTTCCGTGCGCTTGTCCGACTTGGCTGCTCGAGCATTGTTGCCTCGGTAACCTGCGCCTGTTTGCATATGTCATGTAAGAGTGGGAGCAATGGGAGGGGTGATCCGTCGTGCGGTGTGTGGGCTTTTGGGATTTTTGAAAAGGGCCTATTGTACGATGATAAAACTTGTTTACTCTAAAAGCCGATATTTCTGCACTCCACGGAAGCCTCATGGATGGTTCCGAACCCTTCCGATCTGCCCGTGACTAGGCCAAAGGTTTTGCACACTTGCAAGATCAAATCTACGCACTACTTACGAGAAACGGTCTCTTTTCTTTTGACATTGTCGGTATTATTTCGTGCTTATGGGGAGGCAGACCCAAAGCGGATAGAAATTTGAGAGAGGAGCTCTGATTTAAGCGCTTATTGAACGATTAGTGGGTGGACGCAAAAGCTAGCTGCCTTTCTCACCAATCTACTTTCTAGCTCACTGTTCAAACAAGTCTGAACGGTGAGTAGCGACAAAGGCAGCTGGCCTTTGCATCCATCCACTAATCATTCTAAATGGGGCTCGGCGCTGTGACGTGCCCGCACGCTCTGATCTCCTTGTCTCTCGCAGTTTTCATTCGAATGGTAAACTAGACCCTACGGCGAATTGGATCTTATAGTTAGTTTGGACGGCTCTAAAAGCAGCCAGGGTCGCGCTCGAAGGCGGTTCTCAGCGAGGGACACGCCGCGTTTGCAGAAGTCCTTCGACAGCCTGACGGGCACCACGCTGCTCAAGTCGGTCTGGGTGAGCCGGGCCAGCGCCCTGCAGCGCAAGGGCCGGGCGGGTCGCACCCGTCCGGGGGTCTGCTTCCACCTGTTTAGCCGCCAGCGGTTCCTGGGCCTGGCCCCGTTCCAGCAGCCGGAGCTGCTGCGCCTGCCCCTGCAGGAGCTCTGCCTGCAGGCCAAGCTGCTCGTGGCTCCCAACGTGCCCATTGCGGACTTCCTCGCCAGGGCACCCAACCCACCCGCCTTCATGGTCACCCGCACGGCCGTGTCTCTGCTCAAGGTGATGGCGTTTCCGAGTGCCATGAGGGCGTAAAGAAGGACTCGTATGGGTAAACCCTAGAACAGAGCATGTCGAAACTTTTGGGTAGTCTGTTTGTCGTACTCAAATTTCGGGAGTGTAGCTTTCAGCAAAAATATTTAAGCCTGATGAAACCTTTTTTTTTTTTTTTCCAATGGACAGAGAGGAAAATATCAAACTTGGATCTGCCAAATTTATTTTTGGGAATTAATTTTTAAATTGCTTTTACGTGTTTGCTTCGTGTTCTGGCGTCTCCGAGAAGCAGCGTCGACTGGACAGTTTTCGTCGTTTTCCCTTCTACGCGACAAAAACTAGGTTTCTAGGCATACATATTTTTTTCTTTTCTGAAACCTACATTTATTAAATTTGAGTGCTCTAAAATCCCGAGAGATGCCTCACCGTCGAAAGACGGCCCGCCCCCTATTTTTGGCTCGATTCGCTATATGTTTTAAACGCCAAAAGATAGCCCGCTTCTAGTAATAGTAGTGTTGAGATCAATGATGGCCTCGGCATAAATGCGGCTATGGTGGGATATAAGCGAATGTTGCTGACTGGGAAGTACAGTCACCTTTGCTTCATTGCTCTCTGACACCTAAAAAGCTTGGAAGGGACACACAACCTAAAAGTCACTCTTTTTTTCAACTTTTCTCAATTGTACACCGAAAGTTGGCCGATTTCACATTTTCACCCGATTTTAGGTGGGCTATCTCCCGGTATGTTATGGTACGATAAATGAACCACCTAAAGACACCTTTCAGAAAAGTTTTAATGCACTCGGTTAACTGGCATATTTACGCGAGTTTTTTTACATCCGAATGGCTTTCCGAAACACTCCTTAGAGTTGCCATGCATGTTTGTTTCGGCAGTGGAAAGTTTGTTGGCCCCTGCGGGCATCCAGCGTCTCTGCCGTAGACGAGAAATTTAACCAGCGTAGTACTGCCGCTCTTTAACGCTCACCATGCATTAGCAAGACATGGCCGCCTGCCAAGACGACAATTGTCGAGATTGAAATGGGTAGGGGAGGGAATATGACCCGGAAACTCGAGGCTCCGCGGCGCAAACATTCGCTCTGCGGCACGAGCGTTCGCTCCATGTATTTTGCGCCATGAAGCGCTCACGCGCTCGGCTGCCGCTCTGCGCAGGCGATAGATGCCCTGGACCCATCGGAGCAGCTCACGGAGATGGGCCTGCACCTGCTGGACCTGCCCATTGATCCGCAGCTGGGGAAGATGGTGCTCTACTCCGTCGTGCTCAAGTGCCTGGACCCCGTGCTCACCATCGTCTGCTGCCTCTCGGTCAAGGACCCCTGTGAGTCGGGCCCTTGCTCTTCGGTGTATGGCCGGGAATCTCCGACGAGACGGTTTTTTGTGCATTGCGTGACATTGTTGGGAACAACATCTTTGTAATTCATTAAAGCAATATGTTTTTATGGGCTGGTCTAGAGCGTCGGGAAGAGTCGTGACAAAAACCCAAAAACGCAGGCGTTAGATGATCACGTGGTTGGTGCCACTATGGGTCACGTGGTCACCTGTTGTGACATTAGCATCACATAACCATAAAACTTGATGTCACAGTGTCACGGGACCTTATGTAACTTAAAGAGTCGCATGACCACGTAAATTGACGTCACATTTTTACGTGACATCACAATGTAAGTGACGTCGCATGACGTGATACGCGGTTAGCGTCATGTGACCACCATCTACTAAATTTAGTGGGAAAAATTGTATGTCCCGTTTTAACTGCGCCCCAAGTTCGCATTCTGTGTAATTCGGACTTGTGTGTGATTGGTGATTAATCTTTTATTCTTTCATTTTTATAAGTGTCCTTACTTGGCAACCAAACTGGCAACTGTATCAAAGCCGCCGTGCAATTAACCACGACAGCATACTTCTGTGGGTTCTTAACTTTATTACCTCTATTGTCACCTTTTATCTCTTAAAGGAGCTCGGATATATGCGTTCGTCGGATCTCGAAGCTTTTGTTACGACCGTTCATGGTTAGGACCAACGTCCTTGTTGCTTTTTGTCGTGTAGTCGTGCTGCCCACTCATCCGGGTCAGAGGCGGTCTGCCTACCTGGCACGGCGTAAACTGGCAGCCGACACCTACAGCGACCACATGGCCCTGCTCAGGGCTTTCCAGGTAAGGACTTCTCTGTTGGTCGCAGCCTCTCGTTTTGGGCTATTCCCATTGCCAAGGAGATTAACCATCTACGAGGCGCTTCGTCCAGCTTCTTTTTCACAGACCTCGGTGTTTTTCCAACAAGAGGCCTGCGAACTGGTCTTTTTACGTCTGCTTTGATTTAGCGCATTCAGGGCCCTATCCGAGCGCTCACACAGTGTTTGGTTATGTCAGCCAAGCATTGCATCAGAAACACAAATCAATATTTCATCCGTAGCAATCCCGAGACTAAAGAATAATAAAAACTGCTGCAGAAACCACTATTATTGGTCGTCTATGAATTGCGATAGCATTCGTCTAGGCCAACCTCAAGGACGACGTCGAGGACTTGAAAGACGACGTTTAGGATGACCTTTAGGATGACCTCTTGGGCGATCTTAAAGGCGACGTCTAGGACGACCTCTAGGGAGATTTTAAAGGCAACCTTTAAAATGACCTCAAGGACGACGTCAAAGACGATATTGTCACGGGTGGTGAGTCGTGACCAATCAACAAGAAATAAACAGAAATAAATAAACGTTTAATGTGGCGAACTTGTGCCAAAAATAAAGAAGGAAACAGAAGAAAGCAGAGCGTCGCGGGCGTCGAAGTCGGCGTGTCAGCAGAATCGAGCGCTGGGGCGAGACTGACTCGACAAGGTTGCGGGCGGCCTCTTATCTAGAGTGAGTCAGTATCTCGAAGATTCGGCGGAGAAGGTTCGAGCGTAGCGCGCTCGGGGCGAGAATGAACAAGCACTTTCTAGAACAACAAAAACAGGGATGAACGATAGTTATGTCCGCAGCAAGAGTGAACGAGAACTTTCTACAAGTCCGTGACCCTGCGCGCGGCAATATCTAGGACGACGTCAAGGTCGTCAGGTCCTTTGAAGAGGGTGCAAATGTGAAGGAGTGTGAAAATGTGAGCTGAAATGGTCTACTGCACATTAGGAGGCCAGAATGTTGAAATGATCTGGAGGAGAAGGAGGAGGAGGAGGATTGTAGCTAAAGAAAGCTATCGCATTAAAAGAAAAGTTGTATTTTTTTCCTACAATGGGTGCGAAGAAATGAAAGTGATAACTGCAGCACGGCAGTGCAATGCGGATGGAATGGTGCGACGTGGTTGTCCTGTCTGCACTTCCTCTAGTCCCCGTTTTTTGCGCGCTGTTTGCCTTTTCGTCGGTTAATTCTTACTGACATCGTGGTTGGCGTCATAAATGCCACTGATGACTGTCATGAGCGCTCTGTCATCAGTGGAGTAAGTGAGTAAGCGCAGTGGAAGTTTCAGAAACTATCCAACATTACGCTTAGCAACTGGATGTGGAATTTCGTGTAACGCAAGGAATGCTTGGAAACAACTTTTCGTTCGAAGCAGGCAACAGGAAGATTCTCCCTTTGTCACGTCATTACTGGCGGGATGCCAAGGCTCCCCTCTCTTCTCTCTCCGCGCTGCGCGGCCGTCGAGAAAACTGGACTTCCCCGTCATTGTGCCAAGAGGAGAGAAAAGGAGGGTTTTTCCATTGCAGCGACGACATCTTACGAGCTCGAAATCCCTGCAAAGTGTCGCCCGTAAAGCTACCCCGGTTTCTTTCGGCTAGGTGGCACAAGCTACCGCCCGTTACAAAGGGTATAGCCATTAATATCCATCCCTCCATCCATCCGGCAAGGTCCAGAGATTTACGGGGTACCGGCACTGCACAGGGCTGGCAGCGGGCGCGCTGCGAGAATGTGGAGCGCTACTTCTGCGAGCGCCACTGCATCTCGGGCTCGACCATGGCCACCATCCTGGCCGTGAGGGGACAGCTGCTGGGCCAGCTGAGGGCGTCCGGCTTCGTGCGTGCCCGGGGCAGCGGGGACATCAAGGACCTGAACGCCCACTCGGACAACTGGGCGGTGGTCAAGGCGGCCCTGTGCGCGGGCTCCTACCCGAACCTGCTCAGGGTGGACCGCGAGAGGCGCCAGCTGGTGGCACAGTGGGTGCCGCTCTTACTGCTCTCCTTTTCACTCGAGCTCAGTCCCGACCCAGTCCGCACGTTTGCATACTACAGTAAAACCTCGTTATAACAAAGTTGAAGGAGCGGTCGTAATTATTTCGTTATAACCATTAGTTTGTTATAGCCAATGTCCATTTCCTCCCACTATTAGCAAGCAAGGGGAATTGTGATTGCTTTGTTATATCCATTAGTTTGTTATATCCCGTTTTGTTATAACGAGGTTTTACTGTATAAGAATAAAATTGAATTCACATTCCATCTAAATTTAATCCCAGTTGAGCTGCTGTACTAATTATCCGACTCCGCCATTGTTTGGCTTATACTCTGAGCGTGTATTGGATGCGAGAACTCCAACAGCATTTGGCACAACTCATCCGTTAGCGTTGCTCGACGGGGTTTCGGAAAGGGTCTATTGCCAAATCCAATTAAAATCCTATCTAAACCTATTCGTAATTCAATCCAATCGTTTGCGAATCATAAACGCCGAGTCTAGTTCAAATCCGATGTGGGAACTCGCCACAAACTCCTATGTAACGGGAACTCCTACCACAGATTGTGGATGGAGTAGTTTTTGTTTTCGCGGTGCGACAGACACGCGGGAACTTGCTCCGAAATTGCTCGTTGCACACACCGATACCTCAGATTGCGCCACCGGTGCGATTCCTGTCGGATGTTGCATCGCGACGGCAATTGGGGGTGGTCGATAATTCGGGCCTTTGAACCCATAGATATTTAGTCATAGAAACGGGATGTGCTATCTCTGGGGGAATGGCATTATTATGAAATTTTACAGTATCAACCATAAAAATTAATTTCATCTGAAAAAAAAAAAAAAAAAGTGTTTTTTTTTAGACATCTTACATTCTGTACATAGTGCGCATCTGGTACATATTTCACACTGGATATATATCTTAAAACTTATAAACATGTATAGTCTGCGGACCATGCGCAAGTTCGTCTGTTGCTTTTGCAAGGGTTGTGGTGATGTCAGAATGCCGAGCTCCAATTGGCTGTGATTGAAGGTTAATAAGTAGACATCAAGACAGTCTGCTGACGTCGCCACAACCACTGCAAAAGTAGCGGACAAACTTGCGCCCCGCGTAGTTCGCCAAGTATGGTAATTCCGATTTGTCGAGACCTTTCTAGATGTCGTTTGCAGACTGCAGTAGCCACATCACATCTAAATCCAATGCCAATCCATTCAAATCAATTGCAGACATCTCTTGCAGGCTATAAATTCCAATGCCAATCCAATCCGGAACTGGAGACATCACTTAGAGGTTATAAACACCAAATTCAATGCCAATTCGATCCAATTAACTGCAGACGTTGCTGAGAGGCTATAAATGCCAAATCCAATGCCAATCTAATCGACTACAGACATCGCTTACAGGCTATAAATGCTAAATCCAATACATGGCCACTCCAATCCGGTCAGCTGCATACATCGCTTTGAAGGGATAAACACCAAATCCAATGCCAATCCAATCCAGTCAACTACATACATCACTTACAGGCTATAAACACCAAGTCCAATCCAAATCCCATCTGAATCCGACCCCACTTGGATCCCACCATTCTCAGACGTGCCTCGAGGGTGCGCTTCCACACCCGCTCGGTGCTCTCCCAGCCGGAGATCCGGACCACGGGCGAGGCGGGCACCACGACGCGGGCGGCGGCGGTGGCGTCTCTCCCGACGGACTGGCTCCTGTACGGGGAGCTGGCGCGCGCGGGCCCCACGGCCTACGCCCACATGTGCACCCTGGTGTCGCCCGTCACCGTGGCCCTGTTCGCGGGACCCTCCAGGCTCCCGCTGGACGCACTCTACGAGCCGCAGGGCAGTACGGCGCACCCTTCCCCGCCTCGCAACCTCTACCGTATCTTCGGGTCTACAGACGAGCGTGCCATTTACAAATGAGTCCGCGCGGGCAACCCGCACATGCAGAAATCTGGTCAGCGCAAAGTGAAACGTCTGCGCACACATTATGCCGACAGTGGCGCAACGTCGGATCCGAGGGTTGGTGTATGCAGAGAAAAACCTGTGGGAGGGGAGGAGTTGAGAGCATGGTGGGCTATAAGAGCTCTGATTGGAAGGATTAGTGGGTAGATGCAAGGGCTAGCTGCCCTTGTCGCTACCGGCCGTTTGAATGCATGATTTACTGATGACTGCGTCAATTACTCGCAGGTCTGCCCGTATCCCTAACCAAAACCATTAACACAAAAAAAAATCCGCGAAGCGCACATTTGAAAATTTTGAACACGAGTGAAAGAAACAGGGTCATGTATGTAGTTTGTCGCTGCCCACTAACGTAAAGTAACCTTGTTTGTAAAAAAAAATCTCTGAACAGTTGCTCACAGATGGCACCACTGAATAGATACTACTAATATAATTGCTCGGGGAAGGCAATTTCCAGGCTTTCATCGGAGTGAGAGCTTGATCTTCCCATTTCCATATTGAAATATGTGGAACAAAGATCTTGCCGGAGATATGTTAAGAGAGAAGTGACCTTGAGCAATGCATTGTCAGAAAATGTGTTGGTGCCTCTGTTTTCTTCGGAAGTGCTCATGAATGGCACGTTGAAAAAGGGGGAAATTCAAGCTCCCATAAAAAATATCTGGCCTCAAAACCGGGAAATGAGCGAATGCCTTGCAAGGTAGTTTTTTTTTCTAAATATTTAAAAAAAAAAGTTGGTTGCTGAGCATTCAGACCAAGAGGTTGCACTGGAAATGGCATGGGTAACTTCTTGTGAGGACGAGATAGAGCGAAATGCCAGAGAGAGAGCTACTGTAGAATACCGCGCATCCGTCCATTCCACACTAAGCGCCCATTCGCAAATTTGTAAGATATGAGAAAATATGACCAGTACATTTATATGTAAAATTCATGACCAAACAAGGCCCCCCCCCCCCCCCCCCCCCCCCCCCTTTTTCGCGATTATCTCCAAATTTTGAGTGGGTGCTTGCCCGGTATTTTACGGTAATTTTTTTCGGGGGAATCTGATTCTTTCCATGGCTTTTCACAAGTGTTTCAGTGTCGTGTTTCTCAGTTACGGATACACACCGAGAAAGAGTTTTGAGGATCTTTCTACCATTTGTACTCCTTGTGGCAAAAAAACAACTGATTCATTGATGGTTGATTTCCTCTGCAGGGAGAAACTTTGGCCTGGGTGAGGACAGCGACAGTGAGGAGGATGAAGAATGTGAGCTCCAAAAGTGCATGCTCAAGCTCGACGACTGGGTCTCCCTCAAGGCTGAACCCGAGGTAGTACTCAAAGAAACACTTGACTGGCCACCTGCATCAGTTGTGAATTGGGCGGAATTTCTGCCCTCTATGTTTTGTATCATGTGCATTGTAAGACCCGTAGCAAATATAGCGGGTTCGCTTGGCCTACCTTAAAACCACATACCAATTTCTGATTTGGAAATAGTATACTATTGCGAATGCATACTTTACGAACCATATATTTAAACAAAGCGTTAGAGTAGCAGAAGAAACCTGTCGTCAAGTAATTGATTTCTGAATACACGATTTGCAGCAAAAATCCTCAGCTTTTCGCCACAGTGTGTGAAGAAATTTACTCGACCACTCGCAACACAGCCTCGCGGTTACTGAAGTATGTGGTGAAAGGTAACAAACTTCACACATCAGTCAACGTCCCTGCCCAAGACTGAATCGAGGCAGGTACCGTTACCTCTCGCCGCAACTATTGCTGTAACGGCGGGACGTCCCATTCCAGTCCAAGGCATTCATAGGCCCCGCATCACTACCAGGCAAGCAGGTGTGCCCATCATCTCGCGGTGGAGTGGTGCTACTCTGGCTGTATATGGTCGCATGATTTGATGGCTTTCGTGCTTTTTATGGAACCTCTACGCCCAACCGCCACGATCGCGACGTCCTGCGGCGCGACGCTCCCGCTTTTGTGACGACGTTTGTTGCCACTTTGCAACCACTTTTTGGTGTGTAATCAGAATAGGATGCTAAACGTGCTAGTCGAAGATGCGTTCCGGGAGCCAGCTTCAAAAGAACTGTCTGCGGCACCCTGAAGCCGTTCCCTTGCCGTCGTTTCAGGTGGGGCACCTGGCCCTGCAACTCCGCCAGAAGTTGCAGGCACTCTTCCTGCGCCGGATGCAGTGCCCCACCAAGCCGTGGTCGCAAGTAGACGAAGCCGTAGTCCGAGCCGTAGTCGGGGTCCTCACCTCCGAAGAGGAAGCCCTCGGCCTGCCCAAGGGACCTCCTGGCATCGGGCAGCGACCCCGGCCGTTTGCCTTCGAGCCCGGCTACCTGTCCTTCTCCTCCCCGGCCGTGGCCCCTCCGGATAATCCGGCGGCTAATCCGGCAGGTAATCCGGCAAGGCGAACAGTCCTGCGTAAGGGAGCGTCGCTGGACTATGGGACGGCTGCGAGGTCATTGCCCTCATCGCGGCGAGGTTCGGGCGCCAGTTTGCCCGCTGTACCGTTCGGAGCGGGACGCTCGGAAGCCGGTAAGATCAAAATCCGTGTCTCCTTTTTTTTTTTCCTATACTTTAGAAAAACTGCCTGTCTCATTAGAATATCCCAAAGGCACTCTAAAATACATGGTATTTATAGCTCCTTTGTGATATCACGGTATGATCTGACATTACATGACCATTTTATGCGACATCAGGTCATGTGACGTCATGGTGTGACCTGACGTTACATGACAATGTGATGTGACGCCAGGTCATGGGACATTGGTGTCCCCTTTGTGACGTCGTGGTGTGACCTGATGTTACATGGCATGATGTGACGTCCGGTCATGTGATGTCACAGTGTCCTCTTTGTGGCACCATGGTGTGACCAAACTTTAAATGACAATGTGATGTGACGTCAGCTTATGTGGCATCACAGTGTCGCGTGACTTTGAATGACCATCAGGAAATCACGTGTCACGTGACATCACGGTGTCTCATCTCATGATGTGACAACAGGATGCGATATAGTGTTATGGTATGTCGTGATTTAACATCAGGTGATGACATTCGAAGTCACTGTGTGACGTGACACCTTGATGTCATTGAGTCTGCATTCCAGCCACGGATGCTAAAGTTCTAAGAGGCGTCCCTCTAAATTCTATGCATTTAAAACAGCACACCAGGGCAAAGACACAGAAAAGGAACGCGTACCACAGAGCACTCGAAGATGTCTTATGTTTTTCTTTTCTCTGCCTTCATTCTTGTACGCTGTTTTAGAGCGCAGATCTTAGGCGCCTGTTTCCGGCTTAAGCGGCGTCGGCGTCACCGTCCCGTCGCAGTCGGTGTAATTGCGCGGTGCATTATGGGACGTTTCCCATAAAGCATCGTGCAGACGTTTCGGCACCGCCCCAAAACGTCGTGTGAGGACGTGTGTTTCACACGTGAAAGAGGCAGGAGGGGAGGAGGAGAGGGTACGGATGAGCAGCAGAACCACACCCTCTTATCATTATTTTCTCCTCCTCCTGCTCAAGAGCTGCACTCGAAATCGGTGTTATGGGGAGTTGTAAATGTCTTTTATTTTTCTCTTTATAATTACCGTCTACCAACTTGCCGAGCTTTTTACCCTCCTTCAGTTCCCTCCTACAGTGGAGCCCAGTTATATCACACTTGGGTATTTGGAATTATTGTTTATATCAGACAGTCCAAACATCCCCTTGAAAATCACATGTAATAAGAGCGTTGTCTTTTTGTATCGAACTCCCATGACTTGATGTAGCGAACGAAGCCCAGCCGCCCATTGCTTTTCACGCGATCCGGTTGCGCCATAGCGAACACATAGCTTGCGTTGCAGGGCTGGCAGACCACCAAGCCAGCATACACGCGGGGAGATACGCAGCAAAAGAGCAGTTGTAAAAAAAAACAGCAATGAACTGTAAAAAAAAAATAATAAATAAATTGCAAAAAAAATTGAGGATAGCAAAAAAGCAAGGGGAAGGGCGCACGTGCATGTGTAGGGAGAGCTGGGAGTGCCTGCTGTCGGAATGGTAGCCTGCACCCTTTCCCCGATCAATGCTGATGCTGTGCGAGTCTCTAGCCCCAAAATAAAATAAGCAAACAAAAACAACAACAAAAAAAAGTCTTCGGCAAGTGGAGTGTGTTGACAACAGCGGTTGTACAATCGCACTTCGAACGCCTTATCTTTGTTTACCTTTTTCTTTTGCCGTTATTGCTTTGCCCGTTTTTTTTTTGTTTGTTTTTTTTGCCTTTCTTTTTTTGCTGCTCGAGTTTAGTGAGTTTTTTTGTTTTCATGATCGTTTTTTGTGCGTCTCGCTTTTCTGTATTTCTTTCATTTTTTTTTTTATTATTATTACTTTCGTGTTTTGTAGCTTATGTGCGTGGAAATCCCGGTCAGGCACGCGTGCAAGCAGTGGTGTTTGCGGTCTACGCCAACTCCACTCCACTGTATTTCGCTCTACTGTATTTCGCAGCTCTTGGATGCTTTATTTAGTAAGCTCCCGTTCGTGGCGACCTTCGGTATTAGCAGAGAGGCCAAAAAAATTCAGCTGGAGCTTAATTTAGCATATTTTTGTATATCAAATTCCTGATATATCGAACTATTTTACGATCCCCTTTGAATTTGATATATCTGGGTTCAACTGTATCTGTCAGCGCTCCCTTCTAAAACGGTGGCTATGTTTGCATGTCGTGATCAATCACATTGGCAGTGGGCTTTCTCTTTTGGATCGACCAACACCCACTGTTCGCATGTGTCGATTCAAAGGGGAGGCAATGGGATATCTGTTGTCCGCATGCGGTATTGGTTCCCGTGACACGCAAGTTTGTAGCTGGTTTCCGCGTGCTTAGTGCACATTAAAACACGAATCCGCAGTCTGTGGTATTTTTTCCCGCGATATAGGAGTTTGTAGCGAATTCCTACGTGTTTATCGCATCGTGAAACGCGAATTCGCCGCGTCCACAATCTGCGGCATCAGTTCCCGCTTCACAAGGTTCGTAGCAGGTGCCCCCTGTCTATCATTCATTTTTTATCACTTTTCGCCGTCTCATCCCCCCAGGTAACCCAACTCATGTTTTCCACCCTTTATCTGTTCATTTTGGGTGGGCGCCCTTAAAGGGACACTGACACCCCCCAAAATTTTTTTTAAATTTTTTGCCAGGCGCTTCATTATGGTGTCGGAGGACTACCCAATTAATATTTTGCAACAGAGTAGCGTATTTTTTTAATAAAGCCAAAAGACGCAACTGCTCGAAACCGAAACCGAAACCCGACGGAGGTCGGAGAAGTGGAGAGAAGAGAGCGAGTGGCGGAAGTCACGTGACTACACCCGACCGTGTGTTCTTTTTTTTTTCTTTTTTTTTTTTTTTTCTCCTTTCCGTAGCAGACGACATGCGGCGTACGGCAACTGTTCGCCGTGGGATTCTTTTGCAGTTATGTATGTTCCGCTCGTTGTTCTGTACTCCAAGATGAGTTGTTTTGCACATTGAGAAGCTGGAGATGAGTAGTGAGTGCCTGTGGTGAATTTTGATCGGCTTCGAAAAGAATACACCCAAGATGTTGCGTGAAGAGCTGGCTCACATGTTCTGCGTCCGAAACAGAAGTGGCATTGTGCGACAGAGTTTCCGAAAGATCAACGGGATCGGGACCAATGGCAGGCTGCAATTCCTGTAGAACATATACGGGCAGCTCGGAAAGCGGACGCTACCTGATTTATATGCTCCTTGCATTTTGTGGAAAGTGATTACATTGAATTCGCAGGTGTCAAAAAGGAAATCCCATACCATTTAATTCAGCGAGGTGTCGTCCACAACATTTGTTTCTTATTTTTTTTTTTGTTTATTTCTTCAGTGATAATTGTGAAAAAAAAAGAAATGAAAACATCAAAAAACATATGAAAAAAAAAAAAAAAGTTTCACGGGGGATCGAACCCGGTCCTACGGCGTGTGAAGCAGACGTCCTTCCCACTAAGCTACTGGGGCATATCCGAACTCAGGAATCCCTTTCTTTAGTAATAGTTCAGCCGATAAACTGTAAGTTGAAAAGTTTGCTGCCGATTTTCCTCTAGCAAAAGCACTCCCGGGTCGAAGTCGGGATGCACCACGCATTGGCGACATTCTCACCTTGTAAAGAAATCGCACGCGTGCATATTCAACTCGAAGTAGACACGTCGTGCTTGACGTTTGCGCGAGCGATGTCTTCAGCCACGAGAAGGGAGCGACGGCTCGGCGACGTCTTCGTGCAAATCGGCTTGGTGGTCGGGCGTGTCGTACGGGATGAATACCAATTCTTTTGATCAGTCCCAAATTTCTCTTTTAAACGTAGACAGAATTCGCCAGTACCGCGAACGACAGTTCTGAAATAAAGGTCCCACGCCCGTCGTCCGCTGCCATCGCCGTCCCTGCGAGTGCCACGATACGCGAAACGACGCACGCACAGAATGCTTCCGGTTGTCTGTGAAACTTTTTTTTTTCAATCAACGTATTTGCAGCTTTTTAGAAGCCACAAAAAATGGGTTTCATATTTTTTTCTATTTTTAATATTGAGTGTGTGCATTCAGTGACCCACGACTTTGATTAAATTTGGTGGTCGCATCGATACCTTAGAAAACGGCCCGTGACCGCGGAAAAGAGAGTGAGCGAGACTCGAACCGGCCAGTTCTTGATCGGCGGTTTTCGGGCGGAAAGAAACCGATTTTCGAGCTGCAAATTCTGTTCTGGGTAGTTGAGCTCTCATATGTCACGTACAACTAAAAACCTCGGCGAGCATAAATACCCTGTCAGTGTCCCTTTAAGGAATTATACAACGGTAGCCAAGGGGTTAGTGGCGAAGCTCGACGCACTCTCCCCCACCCCCGGGTCCTCCCCTCCAGGTGCCGGATCGTGGTGCTCGGACGAGCGGTCGGACACCTCCTCGCTGCCCGCGGCCAGCAGCGGCCACCCGAGCCCTAGCCCCAGCCCCAAGCGGTCTCCGGGTCAGCGACGTCGCTTTTACGTCGTCAAGGCGAGCTCCCAGCGGATGGTGGACGTCTCCGTCTCCACGGGCCTCTGGTCCCTGGGTCCGGCCACCGACCGGAAGGTGCAGTGGGCTCTCAAGGTGGGTGCGAGGTGGGCTCTCAAGGTGGAAGCACGTGGCACCCTCCTTAAGAAAATGTGCAGCGTTGGAACGTGTTGGGGCCAATTCGCACGCTCGCGACCGCTCATGACTTTTAAATTTCTCCAAGTCTCTTGCGACGAGGGAAGGCGCTGGCGTCGTCCGTTGTCGCGGAAGGCATTTCCGTATATTTCCCGTTTTCTGCGCATCTTCCTTTCTTTGCTCGAAAAACTTTTGACAATATTGTGAACGACCGTTCCTCGTTGATGGTGTTTTCTCGCGAACACCGCAGAACCTTCGCTCTAGTGAAGTGCAGTTTCAGGACGGCTTCGTAGATGGCGCCGGCGTGCCGCCATGTTCTCTTGTCACGAGAGATTGTGAGAACTCAGTTGTAAGCAATCGCGAGTGTGTGAGCGAGCCTTTAGAGTGTGCAAGATTCAAGCGTGCGAGGTTGCGGCACGTCCGATTGGAGGTCGTGGCGTGTGAGCTGTGAACGGGCAAGATAGAAGCGTGTGTCCGAGCGCGGAAGATTTGAGTGTGAAAAACTGGAGTGTGCGAGCACCATTTCTTCCAGAGTATGACGTGTGCGCTACGCACGAAAAGTCTTTGCAGTAAAGTGTCCCGCACCTTGTATGCGCTCGCACATTACACGGGTGATGGCGTTTTTTTCAGCAGCCCTTCCGAGGCAAACGCAAATAGCGGGAAATTAACACACGTATCACCATGGGAGTTTAACCGGCATTCGTGAAAGTAACACCCGGGAAAACGTATATTCTGAGAATGTGTCAACAAGGTTCTCTGGTACGTACGTTGACGCACCTGTATCGTGAAGAATGCATGTCATGCAAAGTGGCACACCGGCGTCGTTCGCCGGAAAGTGTGCTAATATAGGCGGATGCGAGACTAGACTTTGGGAATGGAGTGTCCTTGCGCACTTCTACGCTCGTCTGTAAGCTGGCAGTGAAGTGCTTACTATGCACTGGTGCAGAGCAACCTCCTGCGATGCAACCTTTTCTGACTGCGAAACAATCTCAGAATCGTCACCACGGAAATCTGTGTCGCTCCTCTCGCACGGCTCCTCTCGTGACGTCCGGCGGAACTTTGCGTGACAGGAGGGCAAAGAGGTGGTGCTGGTATTCTCGGTGCAAGGCAGCGGCCACTTCCAAGGCTACGCGCAACTCCAAGGCCTGGCGTCCAGCATGTGCTGCCCCCCGAACGACTACGCCGCCAACACGGGCGGACGCTGCTACTTCATTGAGTGGAAGCACAGGTTCGTTCGTTCCTTCAAAAAATCGCACCCTGTCCCACGTCCGTAGTGCCCGAAACGCGTCTCTGAGTGTAGTGTTTACCGCATCCTCAAAGGCGGTCCCTTAACTCCCGCCCGACGATGTTGTAAAAGTGTCGCGCTGTTGTCTGCCGCTATCCGGGAAATTAAAGAGGAAACGGGTAATTAAACTCCTTTTTTACTGCCGTGGCTAGCCAGCGCCCACGTTAGACTCCTCTCACAAGCCCGCAGAATTTCTGTAGTTTTTGTAATTGGGAGATATTTTCAGTTTTAATTGGAGAGCCCGAATAAGCGTGCCTCAGACCAATGGGTAAATGATTATTTGTATTGTGTCTTAAACAACTATTGTTTACCACACTGTTTATGCAGTTGTAAGCATAGCCATTTTTAAGAGAGGCAGGACATTAGAACTGAGTAGATACGGTAATTAGCTAGAACCCGAAAAATTCAATTTTCTGGCATCACACTAATTGATAGGGGAGTGGATCGGCCAGATTTTCTGTCGTGTTTGCCCCGCATGTTGAGTCCGGTACGTCTCTCTCTGCTCTATGTAGCAACACAGGACGACATGTGCCCCAATGGGCAGTGTGCTCAGAACGTGTCTCAATCCGTACCGATCGAACAAATATTTGAATTCTTACATAACGTAAATATAATATATTTCGAGGACAGTTCCCGCTGGAAAGCAGCTTTTTCCGAGCTCAAACACCAAAACATGTCAGCGGATCTTTCCCACGTATAAATGCCGGGAAACCTACGCCGGTCTAAATAAATAATTGGGAACCACAGACGGCTGCGGACAAACAATCAAATGCACAAGAGCTCGTCGAGCCACGAGCAACCGCCGATGGAGCAAGAGGTCTTATATCATGCGTGAGTGTCCGTCACGAGCATAGTCCCGCCGTACCACATCCAAATGTCGGTGAACGAGTCGAGTATCTCGCGAGACAAGAGCCACGGTCGTCCTCGACACCGAGTGCCGCTTGCACGGCGCAGCCACGTCCAGCCGACAGCGGTCGTCGTCGCCTTTTGCAGGTGCAACCTGCCATTCCAGAGCACGCGACACCTACTGAATCCATGGAACGAGAACCGCAAGGTACAAGTCAGCAGAGACGGTCAGGTATGCCGCCAAGCGTTCTGCATCCCGTCACCGCCATCCTAACCGATTGCACGCACCGGCGAGGGAATCGGCCCTCGCCAAGTAGGGGGGGGGTCTTCAGACTCCCCAAAATTCTTCCGTTTTCAAAAGGCGCTTCGTCGTAGGAAGAGAGGTCTTCATATTGCCGCACGCAACGAGGAACGGGTTTGAATCCCTCTCGACCCGTTCCTTCTTTTCTACTTGCGTACTCTTCTGAAAAGTTCCGGCTCATTCTCGGCTGTTGTCTGGTTCGATACATTTCTGGACTGACCACGTGTATAAAAGCGGTGGTAGCTCGGTGTTTCAGGGCGGTCACTCTTTCGTTGCCGTCGCCGAGCGACGTACGGTTCCTTTTGACTTTAGTTAATGGCACGAGCGTGCCTCGATAAACGTTGGTTTTCAGTTTCAATTTACTTGTTTCTTTTAATTCGTCGCAATATTGATTGCAAAGCTTAGACCGAAAAAATACAAGTAGGTGGCCACTTTTTGTAGCGCTGGACGTCATACATTTGTAGTATGCGTTCCGGAAGCTTCGCGTTACGGTTGCGCTTGTATGTCGTCGCCAGTGTTTATCTTCCTTCTTCCTTAGCTTTTATGCTTGACAGGATTGGGCGTAACCAATCGGCACATATTTGGAGTCCGCAGCTTGTGCAATAAGCCTCATTAATTGGGATCTTGTGGGAGCGGTAAAATGTCAGAGTCGTCTGAACGTCGAACGAACGAAGAAAGCGGCGCAAAAATGTTCCCTTTGCAATATTTATTTTGTGGAGAACAGTCTTGCGGCTGCTTTCTTTCTGCAACAAAATTTGTGCGGTTGCACCAGGTTTTTCTAGCTTATCCACTGTATGTGCACTGTTTTCAGTGTCACCACGTGACAAGCACCTACGTTTATACGAGTCCAGTATGCAGTATGCTTAAAAACATAGTATTGGCAATGAAATATGCATGCATGGCAAACATTAGACTGGATCTCTAATGCATAGTACCTGTCTGTTTCTGTCAAAATAATATTTTATAGTAAACAAGGAAGTGGAAGACCTAAATAAGCTTTGTTTTTTTGTCCCCTCTTTTTTTTTTCGATGCTTGTTGCAGGAAATTGAACCCCGGATTGGCGAAGCCCTGTGTCGGCTGTGGATTGGACTCCCGGACGCCAGGGCTGCGAGCCAAATCGTGTGATGCTGAGAAACCCGGCCACAATCGCAGTCTTATGTCTACGGCCATTAACTCATCGTTGCATCTGCGTTTTATGACCATAATGTGAGCTTCAGTGCTGTTGCTTTGCTTCAGTTGTTTTTTTATGCTTTTTATTCTCATTCCCATAATGTGGCAGCTTCAATGTTCTGGACAATTGCAACAGACCCTTAGGAGTGATACTGCAGCCTAAAGAAAAAGAAACTGTGCAACTTGCTTTTTTTTTTTTTTTCCCCCATTACTTGCATTGTAAGTAATATTCCAGGTTTCGTTATTAATTTTCAGTGGTGTATTTAAATTCGGTATTGGGCTAGAAATGTTAATTCAGTTGTGTATTAATTCTGAAATCCTGCCTAGAAAAAAAAAAAGCATTTGACATGAATAAGAACAAGATGCTTGCTAGATAGGGTTGTGTCACCATCCCTACTTTTAATTGGCCTTTTATTGAATGGATTTAGAGTAAAAAAATATGGAATCTACTTTTACTAGCTCGATGTTGTGTTTATGAGAGTTATGTTTTTGGCATAAAACTTTGTTAATGAACACGGCTTTCCATGAGCAACGAACATTGCAAAGAAAACTTGCTCGCAAATGGTAAAAGTGATTAGCTATTGAATGATAACAAGTCAAGTTTTATCTGGTATTGGTATGTATTAGAATTTACTTCCAAGAGTTTTTAAAGAATGGGAATATTTTCAACATTGACCGACCCAACGAAACCTGTCAACTGTTAGATAATTATACTTACCCTTACAGTTCGGAGAATTTTGCATAGAGGTAAGAGGTGTTCACTTTTCTCCTACTGTGTCTCTCTGTGTTCACAAATGCAATGATAAGTCCTTAAACTTTAGAAGAGCGCTTTGATTTGTCACCGTCACAACACGCACGTGATATGTGCAAGCATTTTCACGTGGGGCCGACCATCGTGGCTCGAAAATGCCATTTTAGCATTGCCACAGTAATTCTAGTCCTTGAAGCTGTGATGGAATTGTTAGCTTTGCCTCACAACTTCCTTTATATGTACATCCTATATTTGATGTTTCTGCCTTCTTTGTTTTTGTTTTTTTTAATTCATAGTGCCAAGGCAACTTGAGTGCTCGTGTCTTGCGTAATATTCACAGATTGCGGTTCGAAGCACAATACAATAGAATCTCGTTAATTCAAACTTGCGGATATATCGAACTAAACATGCAGGTCCCGTCCTATGTGTTTCTAGGAAGGAAACTCCCGGTTAATTCAAAATTTGCATTATTCAAACAAAGTCTTGGTCTCCTTCAAGTTCAGATTAACAAGATTCCAGTGTAAATTGTTCTACAACGAGCTGGTGCGAGTTGTTTCGGTTGAGACGTGCCTGTCAATTTACGTGCCGTCTGTTTTGTGCGCGACTTATCTGAATTTTTGCATCATTGTCATGACACTTCAAGTTTTCGTTTTTAAGGCAAATTTTTAAGACAAAAAATGTTGGCCAAGATTGCCTGCCAACACATTTCGGGGACAGCATTAGAGTGGCCGTATGCTTCGAATCCTTTTTTTTTTATTGACTAAGCCTTTTCTTGCGTAGAAGGCTTTTCTGGTAACTATAATATGAATTTCTTCTCTAGTTAAAACCAGAGCTCAGTAATTGATTCAATTAGGGGCGAAGAACATTCCTATAAAAACAGTTTCTATTAATGTTTTTCTAATTTGTCATCAAAAATAAAAACTTAAAGTGCATTGGCAGACAGGCCAGCTGCAACCCGAAAATAACAGTGAGAATATCGACATAAATGTGTTAACAATTAACATACACAGAAACGTTTGTGTCTGTGTACGTGACCCCAGTGGCAATGGAGTAGGCTGTCATTGTTTTCCCAGGCATTACCTAAACGTTCCAGCTACGTTCAGTCATAACAATATCTTCCGAGAAATGTGGTGGCAAGTGGCCATCGAACCTGTCATTGACTCGTTACTGCACGAGCTCTTTGCTCAGTTAAGTCTGTTTCCTCCAAGAATGTGGTGTAACATAAATGTTGACTTTTGAACTGTAAACTTACCAATGGTTTGAATTTGTGTCATCGATCGCGGCATCGAAACGTGCACCAAGTTACGGTTGGACTTTGGTTTAAATTTTAAGTACTACCGACAGATTGGAGGCTGCCTCAGGCCTTTCGTTACCTTAGTTGCACCAAAGTGTCTATGACGCAACTGAAGGGGAGGCTACAGAAATAATTTGATGGTTACTTTGCCTCAAAAGTGATGTAATACATCAATAGGCGCGGCTGAACTATATCCCGCATCGATCCGATGTCATCAATTCAGTGGTGCCAAGACTGCATCATCACGGCGCTCATGGTCTTCGTGGGTTTGCCGTCGCCGGCTAGACCATTCGCGCACAGACAAAAACGCGGGATCGCGGCGCATTTGCAGTGTGCTATAGACCAACCCCGACGTCACGCAGCTGTGGTGGCGCTGTCGACGGCACTGCGCATCCGCAGACGCTTCACTTCACGTGAACTCAGTTTCTGCGCACGCGCAGTGCCCACGTGTGGGCAGATGCGGGCTTGTTTGTAAACAGTGTGTCGGTCTATTGGTTTTGCCAGTGATGGCAAACGCAAACGGACGACGAGCGCTGTGACAGTCCACTTTCGGTGCCGCTTGATTGGCTGCGTCGGATTGTAGCGCCGGCTGCAATCGGACTCGAAGCGAAACGGAGCATGGTAACCATTGTTTGTGCGGAGAGGCTTAGCGGTTCCATTTTTCTCTGGAAATTCGGAGTTGGAAAGCCTCTCGCAGTTCTTCCGTTGCTACAGACCATAGGACCATTCCGCTTCGACGGCGGTCTCCAGTTGACGCAGTTTTAATCGAGGCAAGGAATGTGCCGTCGCCATTGTCATTGTGCGACCGGCATTCAGCTTGCGCTCACACAGCACGGCAAACCCGCCGCCGCGGGAGAATGTCGGCGGCGAAGTAGAACTCCCGAGAGCTTGGCCGTACGAGGAGGAATGCAAAACTGTTGGCTTGGTGTGGCTTCCCAATTTGTCTACAAACTTCGACGGTGCCAGGCCCAACCTTTATGTAAAAAATACTCGTGCGACTCCAGAATTCCTGCCAAGCAGAAGTAAACGAGCATTCAGGTGCTAGAGCCCAGAAACGTTTTGTAACTGCACCACATGTATTTGACCGTTTTCACCGGTGCCTTCTAAGAATTCATTCCATCACTTCCAATGCGAAGGGGAAATGATTTGATTGTGCAGTTGACATCGTTAATTGCCTTGGTGGTTTGCAGGCCACGGAGAGCTGTAATTTTCGCGGAGATGCAGCTGTACTCCGTTTCAGGCGTGGCACACAATGCCACTAAAGCTGCTGGCACAAGCACGAGTGTCGTGCGAATGGGAGGTCACGCGCTCCGACCAGAAACTGCGACAGTGTTCGACGCTAAATGTACGAGACGGGGTATACAGGCGGTGGATGTGCGTGGTCAAAGTTTTAACACTGGCGATTACGTGAGCAAATACTAAAAATCAAAACTTTTTATTTTGATATGCCGCTAAGGCTGTTATTGAGGAAAAAAAAAACCATGCGCCAGTTAAAAACACTAGCCACCCTGTTTTCCTTCCGTGACCACCGCCAGCCTCAAAAACACAGGGTGCTGGGAATCCCAAGAATTTCATTATCACTACATAGCCAATGAGATTCCGGCGTTAGACGATAAGAACAAATAGAGAAGCAACACGCTAGAACATAAAAAGCCGCATCCCGCATTTATTAAGTTGGCAGCGTCTAAACAACATTTCGTTCTTCATTTTTTTTTTTTTTTACAAATATGACTGTTTTTAGCGAGACATATATGTTTTTTTTTATCTTTTCGCCCCACAAACGTAAATATACATGTCCACCAGTAAGCTGCATCTCGACGTAAGATCACCAGAAACGCAATGAAGCAACTCGTTTATGTGCAGCATTAGGACATGACACAACGGAACAAATCGTCGCACGGCGGGGCAAAACGATTCCTCTGGGCGTCGACAAACGGCCAAAGTAACAATGCCCCGAGGTTCCGTTTTGCATCATTTGAGGGCGTCTTTGAGGTCCTCGTTGCGTGCCAGCTTGTGGATGATGCGACGTGGCAGGGGCTTTGCGTACAGTCCGTTCTGGATGAGGAACTCCTTGCTGTGGTGCGTCACCGCCCCATGCTCCAACTGGTGCTGACACAGCGTCTGCAGCGGCCTGGTCAGCAACTGTGCGGAACAGGTCATAACAGCATGCGTGGTTGGGTGGGGGGGGAGGGGTAGGAGGAGGGGAAGGGAACAAAAGCATGTGGGTGCATTTGGCAGGTAAACAAATGCCTGAAGTGAGCAAGGAGCAGACAAAGTTGTATCTTAGTACGGGGAATCACATCGCCTGCCAATTACAACAAGGTTATCACTTCACAACTGAAAATTGCTGTAAATAAACGGGGCCTGCCCACTGAAGCTCTTTTCACGAAACCCAGAATACTCGAAGCTAACCAGATTTATGATTTCAAGCTAATACAACTCGTTCACAAAAAGAAGCTGTACGATATAAATCGTGCAGTGACCGACGGCTTCGACTTCCACAAATTCGTACGAACTATGGAAAGCAAACTAAAGACTACCAAGTGACTCAAATATTGAATGCTATCGGAACCTTTGTAGATTTCAACTAATCTTATTTTAAATTTAAGAAAAGAGCAAAGGGCACTTATGATGGGTGGCAACATTTATTTTTAGCCACCTTTGCGATCGTAAATGCCTATTTTGGGTAAAGGGCAACATAGTTACGTTGGAAAATAAAAACAGCGCAAAAATGAACATCAGTACAAGTAGAAGACGGACAAACACAGTTCTGACTAACAGTGAATAATCTCATTATTTAGTGGTGAATTCTCTTTCATTAATCAGACTGACACATTTCTGTGACTGTGACTATGACTTCGACTGTGGAGAAAGAATGCCCTGTATAGCTTTTCTCTTCTGACCATGACTGGCTGCGACTGTGATGAAAAATGCCCTATATAGTTTTTTTTTTCTATTTATTCTTCTTTAGTGTCAATCTAGTCTATTCTGAAGGAAAGAGACAGCCGTTATTGAGCGTCGTGTTTGTGTGCGTCTTCTACTTTTTCTTGTGTTCATTTTTTAGCTGCTTTTATTTTTATGATCATGCCCCAACTCGACCATCTTTACATCTTACTGTAGTTACGTTACTCGTTTACATCTTGTTCCCAAAACAAACAAAAACAACTGTACTTAAATTTTTGTGTGTTTTTAGGCTTCAAGTAACACACATTCTTCCAGCTATCCCACATCAACAAAGTCGATTTTTTTTTTTTTACATCATGAGCTTGGTCATTTGCTGGTATCCTCCTATTCGTTCTTTCGTTTTCTGAAAGAAGGCGAGCTCTGATATCTTTTTAGAACGCATATTGTCCCTGCACATTAGGATACAATTCTGTAAAAGGTTTTGTTTTATAAAAGGTAGAAAACAATTGGGTGCGCAGGCGTACCACTGTATGGTGTCACGTAGTTCAGACTCGAAAGCAAACCGCCAAATTATTTGTTTTACTAGAGTTGTGTGCAAGTCACTACCGTTGGCCAAGAAGGCGCATACCTTTCCTAAAGGTCAGTGATTAAGAACACCTTCCTCACTTCCTCGCTACTATTAAGGATGTGTCAAATGAGGACGTGCTCCGTTCGCCGTCATATCAACTGTCTGGATGGCCTCAGGGAAATTCACAATCCTAGTTAGAAAAGTTCTTTGCTCAGTTCCCCCGGGGACTTAAGTGCTTCCATGCAGCCACTTGAAGATTTCATTAATCATTATACCCCCTGTGTTGAGATGAATAGAGTTCGGCGTTTCCGGCCTCATTTAAACATAGGCGGGTATAGGTTTTCTTCGCCTGAAAGAAGTTCTTAATTGGAAGCACTCAACTCCGGCAGTATTGGAGAGCCGCTGTATAACTTGTTAGCGACAGGAACCCTTTTGAAGAAGAAGAATCATCGAGAAGTCTGATGGGAGTCCTTCAGGCTGTGAGTAATGCTTCAATAATAATCTGTGGCGTTTTAAGGCTATTCGTTTGCGGAAGGAAAAACAAGGTTGTAATCCAGCTCCTGGAAGGCTTCGATGAAACTAGTATCAATGGTGCAGCATCGGCATTATAAATCTATGACACCAAGTCACTGTCTCCTCGTTCGAGTTACTGTTCGTTCGTTAATCAGCAAATCTGGGAATGGAGAATCGACCAATATGAGCCACTCCAGAAGTTAAGTGCCTATTATGAAATGTTCGAATGAGTCTTGACATAGTGCCCTGACGACAGTACTTGAAATAAAACGAACAAAAATGATGGCGCAGTAAATACAGCAGTCGGAGACGCGTTTGTGGCCCCAAATCGTTGGGTCACAAATTAGTTTTGCCATCTGGTGTTCAAGGGTCGAATGCAGCATTGTGAATTCCTCAGACCTAAAAATGCAGTACTTTTACCACTCCTGTTCACAATTTTCCAAATGGACTGAAACCACGCATAGTGCAAGAACATTTGTAAATAAATGAGATCACCAAAAACCAGGAGGGGCGAAAACGATCATCATATCACTCTCTTCAGGTATCCGCCGTATTGGGCCGTCTGCTCGATCACTGCGGCATCCTAGTGTTCTCTAGCGTCGTGCAGTGCAACCGACAGGCGATTACTGAGCTCCACCCCATACTTAGATATAGAACGTCCCGATTTTCCGCTGCAGGTTTGTAACCCGTACTCCAGTGGAGACGGTAGCTCTTTAACAAGGTTTAAAAAACTGGCGTAAATCTAGTAGATCTGTTCACGGTCGTACGAATGGCGAAAGCCATCTCAGAGATGTACTCATCCCAGACCCGGTGTTTCTCTGTTAGTGGAATCAACATGCTTTTCAGGTTATGATTCACAATTTCAGTGATATTGTACTGAGAATGATATGGTAAAGTCCTCTTGTGTCTTAATTTGAGCGCTGAACAGGAGACTGCGAACACATCGCTGGTATAGTAACTTGCATTATCACTAACGAGACACGTG